AGAAGATTGGCATGTGAGCTGTATTCTATTGGTTTGGGATAATGAGTTGGAAAACTGACCTGGCATACCTATGCCAGGAAAGTTTTTCTCCTATATATGAGCTAGCGCAGTGTTGGAAAACTACTCGAAAGAATAAAGACCTTCCATCATGCAAAAATTGTCTCAATACAGCAGGTCTAGAGCTTCGCTTGAGTTGCCCACTCAATATAGGAGCGCTAATTTGGATAGTAAGTTGCCTTTTAAAATACTCATGATGCAAATTTCATTGGCAAAATTGACATGAATAACGGATTTTATGAGATAGGTCCCAAATTCAATGATGATCCGAGTTGATTAAATATACACTCAAGGGCATGTTCACTCGGTTAACTTCTAAAGCTTTCACATGACCATTGTATGCTCAGGGGAGGCAAGTATTAAAAGATAAAATACTTTATGCGTCGGTCGAATGTACTAGGGACCTTTTTAAAGCAAATTGTAAGAAGTGTCTTGATAATGCAATAAGCGAACTTTGAGAATGGAGTTATAAAGTGAGAGGTGGATGAGCTACTTATGGTAGTTGCTACATCATATTTGAGTTTTACAAGTTGTTGAGGCCCAAAAAAGTCACGAGAAGCCCAATATAACATATAATGTTGGTTATGTTTTAATCCAAGCTGTATTGTTGGAATTAATTCATTAAATAAATATAGAAATAGTGTGCATGTCATGTCAAGCCAATAATAAATTTTTCATATGTCAATCACCTACCAACCTCACATGAACCCAAGTCATGTGGTTTACGGGGCTTGCACGAGAGATTGTGGTGTGGAGGGTTACGGAGGTCCATAAGGCCCACGGAAACTCTTGGATAATGGAGACTTTGGGTTAGCTACTTGGGAGCACCGAAGTCCAAGCATATTACTTGGAGTTCTCCAATGTGGGTGAGCAAATGAAATATTTTTCAAGCACTTCTTTTTACCCATAGGAAATAGTCATTTTCTAGCTTTACACGCTGGAAATAAGAATGTCCCAATGCTCCCTTTTACCCGCTGGAAACAAGCCAATTCCAACACTTCCTTTTACCCATAGGAAATAGTCATTTTCCAATGCCTACATTTACCTGCTGGAAATAAGAATGTCTCAATGCCCCCTTTTACTTGTTGGAAATAGACTAGCTCCAACACTTCCTTTTAACTATTAAAAACCAAAGAGAGCCTTCACCTTCTATAAATTAGGAGGTATTGCCCAGCTAAAACAAACCCCTCTCAGTTGATGCAAGCTTCTCAGCAACTATGAGAACTCACCTTTCTTCAGCTGCTGCAAGCATTCCAGTAGCCTTCACAGTCATTCTTGAGCCATCAACCTCCATCGTTGGGCTGCTGGAAGCATCCTAGCAACCATCGACCAACATCTCTTGGTTGCTCAAGCATACCAGCAACTATCAGACCATTTTCCTTCCTCTCTTGGGCTGCTGCAAGCATTCCAGTGGTCATCCCAGCCATTCCTCAGCCATCACAACCATGTCTTCTACTTTCTCACCCTTGAAATCCATCATATTCTCTATAAAGCCTCACCAAGCATAACTCCAAACTTTTCCTTCCTTCGAAGCTATAAACATCATAGCCTTCAAACCTCAAGTTTTTCCTCCCATTCTCATTCTCTTGAAATTCCCATAGCGATACCCACAAACAACATATTATCAACACCCAAACTCAAGCATATCTAATACCAAGCCAAGCACATGCGTTCTCATTTGCTAAACTTGTGGGTCTTTAGCTCTCACACTCCAAGCTCTCATGCCAAGCCTAGTAGTATCTTGATTCACCAAAGCAAACTCTCATGCCAAGCCTGTGCAACATCAATGCACCATCTTCAATTCTTCATCAAGCTGCAGGAAATATCAGCACAAAAACAAGCAGCCGCTGCAAGAAGAACAAAGTACTCCCCTGGGACTTGCTTCTCCCTCAGGATACTTTGGGCCTAGTTCTCGCTAACTCAGAAAATAAAATATAAAAAAAGGCAATGAAGGCTTGATTCATCACTCTACGGCGGTCCAAGAATCAATAAACCTGGATGAGCCTTCCGACAGAAAAAGACCCCAACACAAGTTTTATTAGATATTGTTTGTTTTAGAGAATGGATTCTATGAGAATTTCAATCCTAAGCTTATTGTGGGGTTGGTTGCAATCTATTCCAATTATGGAGTTTGGAAATGTTTATTCTTGTAATAATAAAACAATTTCCATTATTGTTCACATGTTCGATTTGAGCGTTAATGGAAATTAAAATATGTTTAATTTTTCAATCATACCATATTTATCGCAATCAAGAGTATTCATGCTAGCAATTTCAAAAATATTTTATATATAGGCTTAATTATTGATATGGCTCTCAAACTTTGATACAAGTCTCAATTTGCCTTCTAAAATTCAATTCACCTCACATCCCATGTCTTACTTTGTTAAGTCGGTAAAGTGACATCTTAAGTCTTCAGACACGGGTAAGATCCACTTATTAGTTGGTTTATTTAACCAACTTGTTGCCAGAGCCGGTCAATGGTTTTCTAAGGCTCAGGGCAAATTTTCTCAAGTGTGCCCCTTTATACAAATTTAAAAACAAAACAAAAAAACAAAAATTATCAACTAATTAATTTTATTAAAATTATAAGAATTTACAAAAGATAAGGAAGAACACTTTGGGGCCTCATTAAAACCTTGTTTGGGGAAAACCAAATGGGAAAAAACCCTAAATGAAGGAAAAAGAGTACCCAACATTGTAAACATTGCATTAAAAAACAAAAACTGCATATTTGAGTCTACAAGCATTTCTTGATTTGATCAATCTTCTTTTCATCCTCCACAATTAATCAAAGCAAACAATCATCACTTGTACCTACAAAATAAAAATAACAATGAAATCACAACCACAAAACATCATTTAAAATGTCTTCTTGTTGCACTTTTAGATGCAAAATCATCAATTATACTATCATATTTAATGTTTTCTAACATATCCTTTTCAATGCATAATATCGCTAATCCATTTAGCCTATCTTGAGTCATGGTGGTCTGCAAGTAAGATTTCAATAATTTTTATTTAGAAAAACTTCTTTCAGCAGATGCCACAGTCACAGGTATAGTCAATAATACTCTATAAGCAACCATTACATTAGGAAACATATCCACACTCTTTACAAACTCAAGAATTTCAATGGATGTCCATGGTTTATCTGTTTCATATGCTTCTTTTGGTAACATCACTTGCCACACCTGTAATTCTAAAAATAAGTCTCTTGCATCAACATCATAAATATCACCATGTTTTAAAGCATTTTCAAGATTCACACAAAAACTTTTCAATTCATTATCATCAAACGAACTCAACTTTGCAGCATCAAATAAGAACCCAAAAATAGATTCAAAACAATGCAATTGTTCAAACCTACTCTTCAATTCACCAGGAGCATTCCATTATAACAAGAAAATAATCAATTCTAAATTATTCTTCAGCTGATTGTTGTTCCCTATCACTATTGGCAAATTGTCTTTTTCTTTTTTTTTTGGAAATACAGGCCTAATTCCCCATATCAAGGGAAATTTCTTTAGCATCAATCATGGCAGAAATAAACCCATTTATTCTATAGTTTTCAAAAAATAAAACAAGTCCTTCTAATTGTCTTATAGCAGCATCAAGACGCATGTCTTCATATTGTAACTTTTTACTAATTAAGTTAATCTTATATAAAATGTCATGCCAAATAACCAAACTTAATATAAATTCAAAACTTGAAAGCTCTCTTGATGCTAATTAAACTTTGAGCATCCCTACTCAATTTGACATCTTCACTAATTTCTGTTAATTTAAATAAAGCTTCTCTGATTTGGGAAGCTTGAGATTTTATTGCTTTGACACACTTTCAATGTGACTTTCCCAACTTGTAGTTGACAATAATTTCAAAGTCAAACCATCTATGTAATCAAGTAACACATTTCATTGCTTTGTTGAATTAGAGAATACCATATATATATATGCAATGACATGCTCCAAAAAAGATTTTTCTTTAACACATGAGTTGGTCATATTACAAACTATTAAGTTGAGACAATGAGAACCACATGACATGTAAAATGCTCTAGGATTTATATCAAGTAATCTTTTTTGTACACCTAGATTTTTCCCTTTCATATTAGAGTCATTATCATAACCTTGTCCCCTCACATCATCATATTATGCAATCATTGAAAAAATAAAAACAGCTAAGTATTTTTCAATCATTCTTGATTGCACTCTTGATGCAAGTCACAAAGAACAAATGACTTTAATATGGAGGTGAGTAGATATTTCAAGTACTCCAATAAATATAGAAGAGTAAATTTTAGAGTTTCTAAATGTGGAAGATACATCTGGATTAGGAATTTTAATGAAGTGCAAAATGTAATTGAGTCCCTTATAACATTTGATGCTAAAATAGTTATCAACTCATTTTGAATTTTACGGCTAAGATAATGATAATGAATCTTCTTATCTTGAATGAGTAGAAAATGGTGTTGCATTACTGGATCAAACTCTGCAATCATTTCAAGTAGGCCTAAAAAAGTTACCATTACCACTTCATAAATTTTTTCATTTGTTCTACAAAAATCCAAATTATGTATAGCAAGACATTTCACAACAGCAATGATTCTGACAATAACATTTTTCCAGTGTAGTGTATCTTTCTTGATTATCTCTTGTAATTCTTTATCAATTGTTTGATTTGTTTTCAACCTGATTTGCAATTCAATACAAGACCTCAAGTTAGTGAGGTGTTCAATACTGCTTTCATGTTGTTTAAGCTTCTCACCAAGATGTTTCCAATCTCTAGTTCCTTCACTTGTTAATTGACTTCTAGAATTCATTATTTTAAACAACTTACAATAGAAACAAAACACTTTATCCAACTCCTTTGAGTACACTAGCCATTTTCAATCCTTAGTTTCCTCATTTGGTAATGTATGAAGATAATAATTTGAGGAAAAATGTCTATTGTGTTCGTCCATGGGGAATTTGAGATTAGTTTCTCTTATGGAACCCTTTTCTACAAGTAAATCTCTCATTTTTGCAACAAGATTATCCCAAACTCGTGGATCATAAATGTTCAAATCAAATCTTGTTTCAGGACATTCATTTTCATGGCAAGGTTCATCAATATTTTCATTTTCATCTAGATCACCAATTTCTTCATTCACATATCATTCTCATTTTCTACTAATTCTTCCAATTGAATTAGTTATTCATATTCAACTGTGGAGGATGAAAAGAAGATTGATCAAGTCAAGAAATGCTTACGGAGATTGGGGAGGAAGCATGTAGGGTCAAATATGTAGTTTTTGTTTTTTAATGTAATGTTTACAATGCGGGGTACTCTTTTTTCCTTCGTTTGGGGTTTTGTCCCATTGGGTTTTCCCAAAACAAGGTTTTAATAAGGCCCCAAAGTGTTCTTTCTTATCTTTTGTAAATTCTTATAATTTTAATAAAATTAATTAGTTGATATATATATATATATATTTTTTTTTTTGTTTAATTTGTATAAAGGGGCACACTCGAGAAAATTTGCCCTGAGTCTTAGAAAACCCAGGACTAGCCCTTCATACCAGAACGAAATACTTCTATATATGCACTAGCACATTGTTGGAAAACTGTTCAAAAGAATATGACTTTTGCATCATGTGATAACTGTCTCATACAGCAGGTATAGAGCTTTGCAAGCTTTGCCCACTCAACCAAACTATTTACAAATAAAATAAAATTAAAAAAAAAGGTGTAGAGGGGATGACCGGATTTATATATATACACTAACGGAATTTTTTACGGAACCTGACAGCAAGAATCATTTATGAGCACACAGACTAACCTTTAAAACCACAAATGACACCAAAAAAAAAAGGACGCAATCTGATAATTTCGCAAAAATTAGAGACGTTTTGTAATATAAAGCCTATATATAAATAGAAAAGTTCAAAAAACAGGATGAGTTGAGAATTTTTTTTTTTGGTTATTCGTTTTATTAGTCCCTGAACTTTGACCTGATTTGCATTTGAGTCCCTCAATTTCCAAAATCGATCCAATGGTCCTTCAACTTAAGTTTCATTAGGATAAATGGTTCTGCATCAATTTTGTTAACTTTTTCTGTTAAATGCAGGGATAAAATGGTATTTTTGGTATTATTTTTAATTTTCAATGTCTAAATATTCATTTCACCCAAAAAATAAAATTAAATATTAGAAACTAAAAATTAAAAAATCTTATTCCTATCCTCACTCAAACTAAAAGTAAAAAATTAGTTCTTATTATTCCTAAAAACTTGATTTTTTTTTATATTTTATTCAAAAATTAGAAAAATATAAAAATACCATTTTACCCCTGCATTTAACAAAAAAGTTAACAAAATTGACGGCATAATCATTTGTCCTAATGAAAGTGAAGTTATAGGACCACAGGAACGATTTTGGAAATTGAAGGACTCAAATGCAAATCAAATCTAAATTTAGGGACTAATATAACGAATAACCCCTTTTTTTTTCAAACGAGTTGAGATGTTCACCTGAAACGATGCAACGACTCTCAAGGGCATTCCCTTCCGTAAAGCACCCACACCCTAAATCCCCAAAAATATCATCTTTGCCACGATCGCTGCCAATCAAATCAGACGAAGCAACATCGAACTCTCCATCAAAATCAAGAAGGTCATGGTCTGTGTATCTCATCCTTTCCACCAATACCCCCATAAAGACCTACGTTGGTGTCACCACTGATTTCTCTCGCCGGTATGTTGATTTGGTTTCAAATTTTCATTTTCATGATTCATTTCCTACATTTATGAACAATTTTTTTTCCTGGGTATTTCAAATTTATCCTTTCCTTCGACCAGAATTTTGAGAAATTTGTGAATAATTCTTAACTGGGTCTTTATGATTATGGGATAATTAGATGTTTACATGTGTTAGAAATTTAAGCAGTTTTCCTTTTTTTTTTATCTGTTTTTTTTTTGGCCTTTCGTCTCAGAATTGGGGAGCAGAGATGGAGGTTGTTGTATGGCCTATTGTTTGTAGCTTGCATTTTTTGTTAGGCTGGAGTTGAACAGCAACTTTATTGTGTCATTTCATATATTCATTCATAGTGCACCAGTTGATTGTGCTTCTTTTCTATTATTCTTCTTAAATTCGTTTGAAGTTTGAGACAACATAATGGTGAACTAAAAGGGGGTGCAAAAGCATCCTGTGCTGGAAGACCATGGATTTGTGCATGCCTAATACATGGTTTCAAGGACCAAAGTAAAGGTATTTTGTTCGAAATTTTGATAAAAGAGCTTGTGATTCTAATGTGATTAGTGTCATAACCAGGCACTGGCCCTGAGTTATTCCAGCCCTTCTAGAAGCCTGTGTGGCTACCAATTAAGAAAGTCATTTTTTGCTTGAATTCAGGCCTTTTGAAAAAAATATTGGCTCAATCTTCATTACTCCAGCTGTTGCTGGTTGGGGATGTTCAAGTTTCCGAAGCATAGATTAAAAATCACACCAGTATTAAACAGCACCGTGCTTTTGCTTTTTTGCTCTGCACTGTGCTACCTGTCTCCTGGTACATTGTTTATTCTCTTCAATTAGTTCCTTTTGAAAAAAAAAAATTATTGCTGCAAACAATGGTACACATATTTTGAAGTGTCGATGTAAAGTGTACATAATTTTATATGGTCAGCACAAGCGTGATTGGTCAATGTTGTTGAATCATTTTCTTTATTTGGATGTGAATAAAGAAGTTCTGGTTGGTTGTTAACTTGAGGTGATAGGTAAAAGGATCTTCTTTTCTTGATTTTTTTTTCTCTTCCAAGCACTAGAGCAAGAGGGATAACGATGATGTTGTTTCCTGGTCTTTTTGTAGTGGGATAAGCTCTATTCTGAAGTTCTTTTATGGGTTTAGGGTTTTCATGGCAGTTTCTTTCTAGGGAAAGGAAACTAAACCACTTCTGATTTATGAACCATTAAGGTTTCTAATTTCATATAAGTGGCCATTCACACGAAAGTTTGACAATTTACAATTTGATTTGATTATTAGAGGAATGGTTTTGGGTGTGGCTTGAGCGTTGTGTGCCCTTGTATGAGTGTGGCAGGAAAATTTCTTCAGACTATTTTGATTTGTTCAGTAAAATTTCTTACTCTCAATTCATTATAAGAATGATCTTCATAAAGATAATATGGGTGTGGCTTGAGCGTTGTGTGTCCTTGTATCCTAGTAGGATCTTGTTGTTGATTCTCTTTGATGACTGACGCCATATGTTTTCCACGCATTTGTTGTAAAAGATTAAATTAGAAAATTAGATATCATATTCTCTGGTTTACTGAACTGTATGCAATGGAAATGGTTACGGACATTTTAACTCTCATCTCCACAGTTTGATCTGGTCAATTAATAATTGTATTCGCTTCCTGCTCCTTTTATCCTTAGATATTGGCTTGTGATGGACTGTTTTTGGTCTCAACTTGACTGGCCGAAAGCTAAGCTCCACATCTTCAACTCTAACAGCAAGTAATTTTTCTTTTGTACATTTTTTGGGTTTTGTTTGTAGCTTGTGAGTTTGAATCCAAATGGAAAAGTTTATCAAGAAGCCTGCCTAGGAAAACAAAGAATGACAACAAGGTGGAGCAAGTAAAGGATTTGTCACTTCCATTGCTGCAACACAGGCAAGCAGCTCTAAATAGAATTAAAGGTTTGCTGGATTGCACTCGTTTAGAAATTGATTGGAAACTGGGCCCTTTGTGATTTGGTAATTAAATCGCATTGTAATTAATATGTTTATAACTAGAAATGTTGTAGAACTCAAAAAGATAAATCATACTTTTAAGGAACGAACTATTGCTAGTCTGAGATTGTTGTATACTTATATATGAGAACATTGTAGCCAGTGTTAAATTAAATTGTGGAACACATTTATTCTTACTCCAAAAGCTTTTCAAGGTCCGTTATATGCTCAAGGGAAGCAAGTATTAAACAATAAAGTTATGTATGCCTCAGCCAAATGTAATAGGGACATTGCTAAAGCGAATTCTAAGAAGTGTATTGATGGTGCATGCAATAAGTGAACTTATACAGTGGAGTTATGAAGTGAAAGATGGACGTGGTGCTGTTTACGGGAGTTGCTACATCAGATTTCAATCCCGAACTCATTCTATAAATAGTTTATAAACTAAATAAACCGATCACCATGCAAAGGGTAAAGAGCTTTGCATGGTGTTGGGTTCGATTCCTCCTTTCTCTAATATCACTTGTATGAAAATAAACTGACGACATTCTTCAAGAACACGAAAAAAGCTCGGTACTCTTGAATCATTCTGACATCAGCCTGACATCGAAGAAACTGGGGAAAAAATAGCCAGAAGCAAGTAGCTACCACAAATCCAACGGTCAAAACCACAGAGATCAGCCTCGGCAACCGACAACTGCCCTTCAATGCCTTCTTCAAAACGATCTCCAACATCAAACAAAACCCGTGCAAAACGAAGAACCACGTGACCTCCCACGTGGGCCTCACACGACCCATGTAGTAGTAAATGAGCTCGTGCATAAGCCCGGAGACAAGGAAGCTTGCATAGACAGCGGGTAGTGAAGCCCACCTGCGGCCAATGACGCACGTGGAGAAATTGAGGGTGGGTTCGTATACGGACTGGCGTAGGATACTGGTGACCACGAGGTTCCATCTTCTGCCCCAGAAGTTTTGCAGAGAGGTGGAGAGGTAAGGCTCGTTGAAATGCTGTTTGAGATCTAAACCCAGAAGGCCCCAAGCGAGGGCTGCTACAATGATGAGTTGGGTTTCTAGAAGAAGGTATATGTACAAGCAATGAAGGACTAAGATGAGCTTTGGGTGGATTTGCTGACTGTAATTAAGGACACCAATTAGAATGGCCAAAAGAAAGCCTTTAATTACAATATGTATGGTGTTTTTGGGAGATGGGTTGGTTTCAATTTGGGGATTTTGAGGTGGGTTTTTTCGGTTTTGGCCATTTAGATGGGATGTTGAAGGAGATGGGTTTTCTTGGATCTCAATTGGAAGGCAAGCAATGGCCAAGAAACGTCCAATGGAGATTGATGGGTCTGAAGCTAAAGGGCCTTTGCCAAAGGCAAAAAGTAGAAGCTTGAAGCTTCCAAGCCATGAAATGAAAAGCTTGTGCCGCCTCCAAGATGGATGGAGGAGAAGTTGAGAGGAAGGTAGAAGAAGAGGCACACAACTGGGAGAGCACAGACGAGTCTGGTTGTACCTTTCGGGACTATTTTACCAATTGAATAGCAGTAGAATATACATACAAATACTGAAGTCCATACCTTAATGAAGCTTCCAAACTCACCCTCCATTTTCTCCCTCACCTTGTTTCAACTTTGTTGTTAATCTTTGTTTTAAGCTGGAAAAATTTAGAACAAATAGCAATTGTAAAGGATCATTAGGAGAAATTAGAGACTCATGAACAAGGCCGGCAAGAGAATATTGAGGAGAGCAAAAGGGACAACTGTTCATGAAGAATATATTCAGATTGTAGATATGAACATGGAGGAAAACTAAATTATATAATTCTTATATTAAATTAAAGTCAGAACATCTTTATAAAAAAATACACATTGATTGCCTCGTGGTGCTCTTGCTGTGCACTATGCGCATGTTATATAATTATGGGGTATTTTTGTAGAATTTCCGTTTGAACTTATACTTCAATTTTAATTTATCATTTTTTAAAAAAATTTCATAGAAATGTCACTTTAATTTTTCAAATTCTATTATTTGTTATCTGACTTTAACACCATCCAATTTTCCATTTATTTTTAAGAGTATTTTAGTCTTTCCATTTTCAAATATATTTTTAAAAATGAAAAAATTATTATTAAAAAATATTGTATATCTTTTAAACAATTAAAATAGAAAAAAAGAACAAAAAATATCACCTTCTTTTATTCCCCCATCAGCGGCTCCAACCAATCCTACCCACCCTCTTTTATTTTTTGGTACAATGTGGGCCTAATGCCCCAAAATAATAAAAACTAAACAGATACGAAGCTAGGCCTAGCAACTAGGGATGTGCAGTTGGACTACAAATACCGGAAATCACCGGTTTCCAACCAATATTTTCAGTTGGCAAACTGTTGACTTTTTTGGTCAACGACCGATTGCGGTTGGACGACAGAGCCGAAATGCTACGGTTGCGGATGTAAGAGAGAGAGAGAGAGAGAGAGAGAGAGAGAGAGAGAGAGAGAGAGAGAGAAACAGAGAGAGAGAAATGAGACTGAGAGATGAGAGATGAGACAGAAAAGCTGGTGCGACGTCAACACGAGGAAGAAGAAGAAGCTGGGATTCTTTTTTTTTTTGGGTTTTTAACTGTAGACGTCCTTGAACTTTGCCTCGAGTTGCAATTAGTTCCCCAAACTTTTTTTTTTAGGCAATTACATCCGTTAACTCGACAAATAGTTCCAATTAGGTCCTACAGTCCAACTTTGTCAATTTTTACGTCAAAATGAGAGGGTAAAGCGTCCTTTCAAGTTCTTCATCCATCATCGATCCCAACTTCACCTTCTTCATCCATCATCGACCAACTAAACTAATCTTCTCCACTATCCATCCATCAACCTGCACAAATATTCACCAAAACAATCACGCTTACAATCAATCTGATTTAAGGGTATTTGCCGCAGCTGGAACTTTACTAGAATGAAAATTTTATTTTAGGAAAAGCAAAAGGTTTTATCCTTTATTTTTCCTAAAGTCACTTCACAATTCAGTTAATGCCAAAAACCTAATTGATACTCAATTAGCTAATTTGCCACTCTAAAAAAAAAAAGGAAAGTCCATAAACTCAACTAAGCTTAAGCTCATTCACTTTCCTTAATTAGATAGAAATGGATTCTCCACAGCTCAATTTGCGCAAATACCAAAAATAAAGAAACAAAAGAAGAGTAATAACCTCGAGAAGCTTTATGGCGTAATTGGAGACGTCGTCCGAGACCAAAATAACCATCTCCTTGGTGGATCCAATGTCCCGTATCGATCTGCAAATCCCATCCAAATCCTCTCTCTCTCTCTCTCTCTCTCTCTCTGCAATTTCAAAAATTGAAAATAAAAAATAAAAAAATTGAACACGTTGTATCTTGGGGGGGTGGGGTTGCGGGAGATGGGAGGTGGGTTGCAATATGGGTTTTAAGAGAGAGAGAGAGGGGGGGGGGGGGGGGGGGTTATATTTCTATTTTTTTTTTAAGTTTATTTATTTATTTTTTGCACCTTTTTTCTTCTTCTTTTTTCAATTTTTAAAATTTAAAATATTTTAATTGAGATTGTTTGTACCATATCTGACCACCCACTCACGTCGTGACACGTGGAAACGCCCTCAAGCCAGAGACCAGCTCAATTGGGGCCATACCGAATGTTCTCTCGGCACTCAGTACCGATTCAGTTGGTCGATAACGCAGCATCATTACCTACGCCAACCTTCGGTATTGTCTACCGAGCAACCAACCATCACATCAATCTAATTCTGACATATTACCTCAGAACTCCTGCCAGAGCCTGTCAGAATCATGTGTCGACCTCCGAAGACACTCCCACGAGTCCCACATCGAAACTAAGTGCTAAGAGCATCACAAATGCTCTTTATAAATAGAGCCCCTTGGCCCAGCCAAGTGGTAAGACTTTCTAACTTGATTAAGTGCTTCCACTGTTAATAGAATCGCTCTTAGTCACTAACTTTGGAATCGGAGTACCTTCGGCAGGTACCACACCGGTATCCCTTCCTAAATTTAGGATCCGGCCCCCGCTCGAACCTTCAGACATCACGGAAAAAGGTCACTACGGTCCTCAACCATCAGCATACTTGTAAGTTAGCCTAAATTCTTATCTGTTCAGATTTAGCGCGAACAGATTGGCGCCGTCTGTGGGAATCCGATTGACAATCAGCCCATATCTCCCTTTTACTTCTAAACTATGAATCCGCCTTCGCCCCTTGCGGCCGACGGTCCCATCCTCGGCCTCTCAGGCCGAGAGAACTCTGCTGTGCCGCCCGGCACACCCCGAGTGGAAATGCCCGGTCGGCAGAGCACCCTGGAAGATAGGATGGAAGCCCTGCAGCGGGAAATGATCAAAATGCAGGAACACAACAATATCCTCTCCTCCAAATTGGACGACACCCAGAAACAGCTCCACGAGCAACAATCACGTTCGGCCCAGCTGCATGATGGTTTGGAACAAACCCCGCAGCTTCGGCAGGAACAACCACCAAAGAGCGTATCAAAACCTAACGACCAAAGGGCTGGAAAGCAGCCAGCTCAGGGCGGACCATCCGCCTCCCGAAGGCTGTTTGTCCCAACTTCGGCAAAACGCCACGAGGAATACCAAGTCTACTCCGACTGTAGCGACAGAATCAACGCTCGACGTCGTGAACGGCGAACAACACCGATTCCTATCCAAGCATAACTCAACGATCAGCATTTGGACGTGCTCGGACCAAAATCTCCCCTTCGGCGGAGGTATGACGTGATCGGCCTAGAGGAGACAGGCGAATCTGACTACATTCTGACCTCCCTCAACACGACGCTCTCACGCCAGTCGACGACATTCGGATCGGCCAGAAGGAACGATCGGCGATAGGGACGTCCGAGGACAGGCCACGAGACACAAGGACACGAGGGTCACCTCTCGACCGGCCCCCAAACGGCAGAACCCTTCAGGACCAACCTCCCTCCTACCGATCCTACAATCCGCCTCCTCCTTCAAAAAGTCAACCGGATTGAGGAAAAGCAGAATCATATCCGAACCCCAACCTGGGGAAAGGTACAACTAGGACCATTCACCAGTCGAATCCAAGTCTACCGACCTGAACAAGAGGTACAAGCCCTCCGAATCTCATTCTACTCAGGAGTGGAGGACCTCGTCACCCACATCCATAAATTTCAATCGGCCTTGGGCTGCAAGGGACTCACCGATGAAGGCTAATGCCTGTTATTCCCATCTACCTTGGCGGGGGCAGCTCTGAATTGGTTTTATCGGCTAGAACTAGGTACGGTAGACTCTTTCGACCAGTTAAAACAAATTTTCCTCAATCATTTTATGATACAAATCGATCGTCTATACTCTGCCGACGACCTCTACACCATTCGGCAAGGAGACAGAGCCCTTCGGGAGTACGCAGCCAGATTCAGCCACGAGTACTCTCGATGCCCGGAAACCGACGACCGAGCAGCCTTCGGCACCTTCAAAAGCGGCTTCCGAGCCTCCCAATTTCGCTACCTAGTGCACAACAGCAATTGGACCACTAATGCCGAAATCATGAAGCAGGCGAATTCACGCCAAGGCCGAACACTTCAACTTCAAAGGAATGCCTTCGGCATCTACTGGCCCGACGGCAAACACAGGTCAGCCTTCGGCATCCACCTATGACCGTTTCCCGCTACATCAGACCGCTAATCAAGCTCCCTGCCGAATGGCACCCACTGTACCCGCACCTTACATAACCGGGGACAAGCGAAGGGACTCGTTCCAGGGTCGGCAGGACGGAGGCAAACGCAACAAGGAGTCGGGTGGCCGAAACTTCCGAAGCACCAAAAGCGACCGACCGCTAGAGGTCTTCACCATTCTCAATTCGACCTACGAACACTTCCTTCTGGCCGAAAATCAAATGATTCCAAAGCCAAGCCTCCGGAAGCTCCCTCGGCAACTCGACAAGGACACCGGAGTCTTCTACCGATACCACCAGTACAATGGCCACGATATCGAATCCTGCATCGCCCTCCGAAGGATCGTTGAGAAACTGATCAGCGAGGGCAAACTAGACCAGTATTTAAATGCGTAATCGGGCCCCGAGCAACGGAGGAATCAGCATATCAACATGATCTGCGGCGGTACACCGATCGCTGACTCCAGCTGTCGGTCCGTCAAGAGTTACGTGCGTGCTGTTCGACACCCTCAGGTCCTCAGCCTCATTGAGGATCCCAACAGCAAAATTCGACGATTTAGATGGGAACCCATCACCTTTTCGGAAGAAGAGGAGAAGGGCATCATCTTCCCCCATTCCGATCCCATGATCATTCGAGCAGACATTGTCGATTTCGACGTAGGCCGAATCCTCATCGACACCGGAAGTTCAGTCAATGTTCTCATTGCCGATGCTTTCAACGGTCTTGGAATCGACCATCAAAGCCTCAAGAAAGAGATCACTCTTTTCCTAAGCTTATCGGGCAATGTGGTCGAGCCAATCGGGAGCATCCAGCTTCCCATTGCCATCAGCTCCGGCCCAAGAAGGGCTTTCATCTACACTCACTTCCAGGTAGTCAACTGCCCAACCGCATACAACGCCATCATCGGCAGACCCGCCCTTACCCGAATGAAAGCCATCCTGTCACCACATATGTTGCTGCTCAAATTCCCTACACACTCGGGAATCGGCCAGGTTCGAGGGGACCAATTGAGCGCTAGGATTTGCTACGTATCATCCACGGAGGAATCGACAACCCAGGCATCAGGGCAACAACCACCCGAAACGCTAACCGTTACCCGCCCAAGCATGCCGAACGGCAGGGGAGGGACCGAACGTCCCGATGACCCCTGGGACGACAATGTGATGCCGCACGCTCAACCTGCCGAGGAGCTCGAGACGATCTCCATCTCCGACACACATGATCGGCAGGTCCGGATCGGCACCTCCCTCAGTCCGTCTCTCTGAGCCGACTTCATTACATTTTTAAGGGCCAATTCGGAAGTTTTCCCTTGGTCTTACAACGATATGCCTGGCATCTCCCCGGACGTCATCAGCCACAAACTCAGCATCTCCCCTTCTTCGAAACCGGTCCGACAGAAGAGACGATCCAATGAAGACCGAAGTAGACAAGCTTCAGGCAATCGGCTTCATCCGAGAAGTCACCTACCCCATTTGGCTCGCCAACTCAGTCTTGGTGAAGAAATCCGACGGCGACTGGCGAATGTGCCAGGATTACACCAATCTGAACAAAGCATGTCCGAAGGATAGCTTTCCGCTACCAAGAATCGACCAACTGGTGGACGCCATGGCTGGCCATGAGCTCCTCAGCTTCATGGACGCCTACTCCGTCTACAACCAGATTTTCATTACCGACAGAGGGCTTTATTTCTACAACGTCATGCCATTCGGCCTAAAGAATGCAAGAGCTACGTACCAGCGGCTGGTCAACAAAATCTTTGCCGAACTCATTGGCACTTCAATGGAGGTCTACGTCGACAATATGCTGATCAAAATGCGCCTGAACCCAAGCAAGTGTGCCTTCGGCGTCTCTTCCGGCAAATTCCTGGGCTTCATGATCAGCCAGAGGGGGAATGAAGCCAACCCCGAGAAGATTCGAGCGCTCATCGATATGCAAGTGTCGAGGACGAGGAAAAAGGTTCAGAGCCTCACCGGCCGAGTCGCCGCTTTGGGCTGTTTCATATCAAAGGCCACCGATCGGTGCGCCCCTTTTTTCAAAGCCCTCAAAGGAAGAAAACGGCAGGTCGATTCGACTTCCGAATGCAACCGAGCGTTCGACGATCTGAAAGCCTACATGAGCCGAGCCCCTCTGCTGTCCACCCCTATTCCCAGAGAAAACCTCGTCATCTATCTCTCGGTCTCGGCATCGACCCTGAGTTCCGTGCTCATCCGTAAACCGAACGGCATCGAACTCCCCATCTTTTATATGAGCCATGCATTACAGGACGCCGAGCAACGGTACCCCCCAACTTGAACAGCTGGCCTACGCCATCGTCCTCTCTGCACGCAGGCTTCAGCCCTACTTCTAGGCTCACAGCATCGACGTGTTGACCAATCAACCCCTACGGCAGGTCTTGCAGAAGCCAGAGACATCAAGACGGCTGATCAAATGGGCCATCGAGCTTGGTGAATTCAACATCAGGTATCACCCTCGGCCTTCCGAAAAAGGACAGGCCGTGGCCGATTTCATCTCAGAATTCACACTTCCACCCAAGAACGGTCAACCAATCGACCCTATCACGACACCACCTTCGGCATCTACAGATCCACCTTCGACCGACAACACGTTCGATCAAAAAAGCCCTCACTGGACTTTATACGTGGACGGCTCATCCAATCGGTAGGGCAGCGGCGCTGGCCTAGTCCTCAAGACTCCGGATGACACCACAATCGAATATGCTATCCGCTTCCAATTTCGTGCTTTCAACAACGAGGCCGAATACGAGGCACTCCTAGCAGGCCTTCGACTTCCCCACAGCTCGGGTGCCGAACGGCTGATGATATGTAGCGACTCCCAACTCGTCGTCAACCAGGTAATCACCGAATTCGCAGCAAAGGACGAATCAATGACTGCTTATCTCGTGCAGACCCGTCGATTACTCAAACAGTTCAAAACCTACTACATCCGCCAGGTCCCCAGATCTGAGAACAGCCACGCCGATGCTCTCTCTAGGCTCGCTTTGGCAATCGACGACCGTGTCGGCTGTCGCGTCCCCATCGAAGTTCTCGCTCGGCGGAGCACGGCCGAAGCCGATGTCAACACCTCACCGACGGCACCCTACCAACTGACAAAACCGAGGCAAAAACAGTATGATGACGATCGGCTCGGTACCTTCTTTTGCAAGGCGTCCTCTATCGGCGCAGCTACTCCCTACCATTTCTGAGATGTGTTACACCACAACAGGGAGACTACATCTTGCGCGAGATACACGAGGGTGCATGTGGTGATCACTCGGGATCCCGATCCTTAGCCTTCAAGGCTGTTCGGCAAGGCTATTATTGGCCAACTCTCCACGCTAACGCCACCCAGATTGTGCAAAAGTGCGATCCGTGCCAACGTTTCAGATCTGTATCGAAAATTCCTGCCAAACCACTCAATTCGATAGCTAGCCCATGGCCATTCACCCAATGGGGACTTGATCTCATCGGCCTCATGCCGCCAGGCACGGTTCAGCCCAAGTTCGCAGTCGTCACCATCGATTACTTCACCAAATGGACTGAAGCCGAAGCCCTCACAAAGATAACGACAGCTAAGATCGAACACTTCGTATGGAAAAACATCCTATGCCGATTCGGCCTACCAAACGTCATCGTAACCGACAACGGCAAGCAATTCGATTGCTCACGGTTTCGGCATCTCTGCTCCCGGTTCAACATCAGCATCTTCTTTGCATCCCCGGCACATCCACAATCGAACGGACAGGTGGAAGCCATCAACAAGATCATCAAGAAAACACTGAAGAAGAAGCTGCGAGCCGCCAGGGCAATTGGCCGGCCATACTACCAGAAACACTCTGGGCCATCAACACCTCCTACCGAAGGTCAACTGGAGAGACACTGTTCCCCTTAGCCTTCGGTACCGAAGCTATAGTACCAGTGGAGGTACATGCACCCATATGTCGAACGGCATCTTACGACCTTCAGCAAAATGAACAGCGGCTCGCCCTCAACCTTGATCTCATTGACGAACACTAATCGCAAGCCCAGCTCCGGAACGCTACCTACAAACAACGAACGGCTCGGTACTACGACTCGCGCGTAAAACACCGATCGTTCAAGGTGGGGGACTGGGTTCTACGTAAAGTGTCTTTAGCAACGAGAAATCCTATTGAAGGCACTCTCGACCCCTCCTGGAAAAAACCCTATGAAATTGTCAGCATCTGCCGACCCGGCACCTACCGATTGCGTGGATCCGATGGTCAAACCCTCGGCCACCCTTGGAATGTTGAACATTTGAAATAATATTACAAGTGACTGGTCTTTCGGCCACTACGCTTTTGTACAATCTAACTTTCCAACAACAGTATATATGCCTATATCCTATTTTTACTCAATTCGGCATACATGCTTATATTCGTAACGAAAAAACAAATACCGAAGCTGATTCAAAATAGACATTGGATATAAATTAAAGCCTCAAACTAAGGAAATTGTCTTTACAAAAAGGCCGAACGGCCTACATATCCAAATACTAATTACAAAAGACCAAAGCATAGCAGGGCAGGAGTTAAGGAGTCGGATGATCGTCCTCAGCAGCCGGTGGGGCGGGCACTTCGATATCTCGGACACTCGACGGCTCGGGAGGTGGAGTAGCTTCTTCTTCCTCACTATCCGACTCCAAGCCACTCGAGGTCTCCACTTCGGCATCCTCCCCGAGGTACGCCTCCACCATCTCCTCGGTCACCCTCTCGAGCAACGACGGAGGTTCCCAGAGGAAGTTCAAGTTTAGTTTTTTATCAGCATTAAAACGCTTGAACCGGTATATGAGATCCTCGCATTGCACCATCACCTCCTTGTCAAGGAATGCCACGAACTCAAGCGAGTCTTGGTACTCAGCTATGGCCTGTTTCTTGGCCTCATCCACCTCCGTCGCCTGAGACCGAAGCACGGCCTCCTTCGCCGCCTCTGCCCTCGCCCTCGCCTCATCGGCATCCACTGCCGCCCTCTCCGCCTCCGCCAACCTGGAGGATAGCTCAGCAATCTTGGCGGCGTTCTCCTCTGCGTGCCGATCCGCATCCTGCAGCATCTTACCAGCCTCGGCAACTTTGGCACGGCCTTCCTCATATTTTTTCTGGACACGCTCGGCCGTATTGACAGCCCGCTTCATGCCGAGCCACATCTCCATGTTCACCTGCAAACACAAACCCATGTTAGCACTACCATCACCTCAAACACTTGGACAACGCTGAAGAAAGTGCACTTACGGCAGCCTGGAGGCGGAAGGCTCGACCGGCCTGTTCGCGCAAGGACTTCATCGGCAACTGCTCCAACTCCGACAGCTCCATCTGAAGCAGTTCACGAACGGCACCACCTTCCAAGGGCAGGCTATGTTCACTGGGTCAGCCTCGGTATCCTCGTCGTCGTCGGGCACGAGGACGGCTGCTTCCTCTTCGCGTCCGTCATCTCTCGACCTCCTGCCACTGCATAAAACAAACAAACACAAAGTTAGGGCACATTCGGTATACGCTACAATACACAAAACCGATGAATTACCGAACGGTATCACTTACTTTGCCTATCTTTTTCTTCTTCCTCCTCCTTCCTTCGGACGTACTCAAGCTCGCAAATTAGACCTGCCTTGTACAAATTCTTGTAATCCAGCAGAGCCTTGTGAAAGCGTCCTTCCTCTGATATCCTTGACCGAACGCGCTCGATCACTTCTATCTCCCTCTTCGTAGCGATCGGCCGTTTCAAGGACACTGCAACACAAAAAGCAACTTTCAGTTAGCTTCGGCACAAAAAATAAAACAAGAGGTGATACCGAACGGCATCCCATGGACCTACCGATTGTCTGAAAGGACGTGGGGATATGCCTCTCCACAATTACCCCCGGTGCCGATTCCCAAGCTCCAGACATGAGCACCCGATGTTGGCGCCAAGTCTTCTGAGAACTCGGCACCCCCACTACAAAGTGCCCCCTCTGCCTTGCCGCCAGGCAATTCGACTGCACCCACCCCCCTTGATCGGCGCTCTTCGCCCTCGTCACGCTGTACAAATGGGCAAATTGCTCATAGCTCGGGTCTTCTTCACCAACTATGTTGAACGTTGTGATCGTCCGAAGGAGTGTAATCCAGAAATTCGGATTAAACTGCCCCGGGGCGTAACCGATCGCCGCCAAGACCTTCTACACCGAATGCCTCAACGGCAACCGAAGCCCGTGCTTGAACACATCCGTGAAGAAGACCACCTCCCCTGTTGGATTGCTCAGCGACTCCAACGGCCCCGGGATCCGCATCTTTACCGATTCCGGTATGTTGTACAGTGCCCGGATCTTCGCCACCTCAGGCCCCGAACACAAGGTCCTTTGGCTTCGCCATCGTTATCCTTTGTCGGCCTGTTACCACCGTCAGCACGCCCTCTCCAGGGTCGACAACGGAGACATCTCCTTCGGCCTCCCCCACCCGACGCCCACTCGTCGATGGCCGAGAGCCATCAGCCCCCACTTCTACTACACTCGAAGTGCTTCCCGAATCGGTCGACACCTCCAGTACTTCCCTCTCAGTTTCCTCGAAATCAGCACTATCCAGGCTTGCGGTTGTTCTCTCCGAGGCCGTTTCTCCATCAAAGGCTGACAGGACCCGCCCCGAATTTCCCGGAACCCGAGACGAACCCTGTGGAGACCTCGGCATCACACCCATGCCGGGTTCACTCCTTAAAACTATGTCCTCTATTACCAAAGAGGATTAAGGGCACGAGACTTTCTGCCGAAATTTCGGCAGAGTCTCCCCTGTAAATTGAACATTCCCCAAAATTTCCACCTGCATAAAACACACTTTATAACCCAACCAGCAGCACGCACAATATAATCTCATGCAATTTACATAAATGGCCTCCGGCCTTCAAATGATTCTAGCAGAACTGCCCACACGGTTGTTAAAATAACTTAATGCATTAAACATACATATATCCAATTCAAAATCTATCTATGCACACCTTCGCTCACTCAGTCTACCGGACAAGCCTCAATTCAACCAAGTTTCGGGACCAACCACGAGGTCCGCATCATACTCGAGAAAACCACCTAAGTGGTGTCTAGGTCGTGGCTGCACCTAGGCGCTATCCCAGGCTGCCTACGTACCCTACTAAGGGATCAAGCCACACGTAGCTCTTTCCTATCAATCCAGGCTCCTAATATCAAATAAACCATTACATCCATATAAATTCATACATTCTAGGATTTATCCATCACAACACACCAAACACAATCACATAGCTCCCCTCATACGACGGGACGCACCCGGCCTCGTATGGGGTCTGTCTACACGCCGGTTAATCCAAAGACGCGTGCGACCTCACACTGGGGGCCTGGCTACATTCTCACCAGCCCTCATACAATCATATCTCCCCTCATACGTCGGGACGCACCCGGCCACGTATGGGGTCTGTCAACACGCCGGCTAATCCAAAGACGCGTGCGACCTCACACTGGGGGCCTGGCTACATTCTCACCATCCCTCACACAATCATATCTCCCCTCATACGTCGGGACGCACCCGGCCACGTATGGGGTCTGTCAACACGCCGGCTAATCCAAAGACGCGTGCAACCTCACACTGGGGGCCTGGCTACATTCTCACCATCCCTCACAAAATCATATCTCCCCTCATACATCGGGACGCACCCGGCCACGTATGGGTCTGTCAACACGCCGGCTAATCCAAAGACGCGTGCGACCTCACACTGGGGGCCTGGCTACATTCTCGCCATCCTTCACACAATCATATCTCCCTTCATACGTCGGGACGCACCCGGCCACGTATGGGGTCTGTCAACATAATCACAATATGGGGGGTACGTGGGGTAGTGCGTATAGCACTGTTAACTAACATTCAATCTCCTTATATATCATCATACATCCACACAATTAATTAAATATATCATATAATTTCTAATCATACAATAACATCAACCAATAAAATATTCCATAAACTCCCACATTTAAATTCACCAATTTATATCCTAAACCCACAATATCCATTTAACTCAACAACGCTCAAGACCTGTCTCTAAGGTCATCCTAACCCTCAAGGAAAGGTAAGACTATCTCGGGAGTCTCACGGTCAACCTAGGGTCAAACGGGCCTGCGGGGCCCACAACCTCCAAATTTTCAATCCGAAAGTTCCTATAGGTTCTACAGGCTCTAGGACACATGTCCTGCAAGTTTGGTCCAGATCGGACGGTCGGATTGCTCACGATCGCACAATCGGACGGTTACTAAAACCCTAACCCTAGGGTTGGCATTTCTGGAGTATCCGGGACTCCGTTTTACGATCCGTCGAATCCTACACGATCCTGGTAATACTTAGATCAACATATTATAACTTCAGGACCATCCAACGGTCCAAACCTAGCGAACCCGGAAAATACGCGATATGCGATATCCTTTCGGACTCTAACGGTACCCAAAATGAGATCCGAGCACACCCACGCGCTCGTGACATCGAGAGGATCACAGTGGGACAAAAATGCCCCTCAACTACAGTGCCCACGCGCCGCCACACGCGCCGGCAACGCGTGGGTGTTCAAAGCGATAATCCATCGCCGGAAAAACAACAAATCACGGCTCAAGACTCCTACCCTAGGTAAAACACCCTATTTGGAGTCACTTTTGTTCTTGGGCATACCCCAAAAACTGACCGGAAGTGGCCGGAATCTCCCCTCGAAATCCGGCCGAAATCCAATTCGAAAATCAGACATCCTACGCTCAAAATCGATGCAATCCTACCCAACCATCAGCTAGATAATGCAGAAGGGATGAATTTCCATACCTTGATCGCCAAAAATGGCGGCCGGACGACGGAGAACGAAGCCGGCAAAGTTTCGGGCGAAACCGAGCTTTTCTCTTCGATTTTCCGGCGAAATCTCGACGGCTGGCGGCGGGACCTGGCCGGGGTAGGTAGAGGACGGCGGCCCGGTCATTTTGGTACCGGCCCCGTCGACTTTGGTGGCCGGACGAGAGCACGGCCGGCCAAAACGTGGCCGGCTGTTTCCGCAGTCGCGAACCAGAGGAGAGAGAGAGGGACGCGCGGGAGAGAGAGAGTGAGTGAGAGACGGGGGCAGTTCCGTCTTTTATCAAAAATCCCTTTTCCAAATATTTACGATCGTGCCACTGAGTTTCATTCGATCGTAACTCTCTCGTTACAACTCCGATTCAAGCCCACTACGTGTCTACGAACTCATCTCGCCGTGCTCTACGGAACGGTACATCCGGAATTCCCAAATTCCTTCCGGGGTAAGAAATTGACTAAAATACCCCTATCCCACAGGTAAATTCTTAATTTCACTCAAATTAATTAAAACAGGGGATAAATTTGGAGTCGGGGTGTTACAAAGGCTCTTGGGCTACGAATATAGTCTGATTCGGTGTCTAACATCTACAAACAAAAGCAAAGCGAAACTAAACGACATGCTCAAATCAAACCCCTATCCTAGAGCCCAAGAGCTGATGTTCATCTACGCTCCTCTCAGTTCATCCACGTTCTTAGAGGATACAAGCATTTGATTCATACTGAGAGGGAAAACACCAACATATCTTGTTTCACATGGTGGTGGAGCTCGCCGGAAATCGCTCCGCCTTCACGAACACTTGCCGGAAATCGCCTACGACGCCGCGATACCCTTGCCGGAAATCGCCTCTCACAAGCTCCGTTTGCTCTCAAAAACTCAAGTACCTCCTCCTACTGTCTCTCCCCCCCTTTTTATAGGATGAGCCTAGCATCGGGAACCGAAACGTCACAACTCTTCGCCGCCTTGCCGACACGTGTCCCCCATTTACAGGGGAGCCCAAGCGCTCTCACCTTCCCCCTTGTGCCTACACTTCGACGTTTCGACTTCTCCATTCTTCTCCTTTTTGAGACAACAACTTTCTTGGCAAAAGGCAGGCACGCATGGGTCTTGTTTTCACTCACCCCTCGTGCCGAACAACAGGCACGCATGGGTCTTGTTTTCACTCACCACTCGCGCCGAACGGCAGGCACACATGGGTCTTGTTTTCACTTCACCCACCTTAGGCTCTATCTGCCGCTCCCTTCCAATCTTCAAACCAACCCCTTGGCTTGAGGACTTGGGGGACTACATGATCACCACCGGCTTACAAACGACATACGCTCATTCCCGGGTCAGAATTCCGGAGCTCAGGGACATAAGCAAGTCCCCAACCAATAAGTCCTTCCTCGATCGGAAACTTGGGGGACTACTGTTTGTACCATATCTGACCACCCACTCACGTCGTGACAAATGGAAACGCGCTCAAGCCAGATACCAGCTCAACTGGGGCCATACCGAATGTTCTCTCGGCACTCAGTACCGATTCAGTTGGTCGATAACGCAACATCATTACCTACGCCAACCTTCGGTATTGTCTACCGAGCGACCAACCATCACATCAATTCGATTCTGACATATTACCTCAGAACTCCTGCCATAGCTTGTCAGAATCCCGTGTCGACCTCCGAAGACACTCCCACGAGTCCCATATCGAAACTAAGTGCTAAAAGCATCACAAATGCTCTCTATAAATAGAGCCCCTTGTCCCAGCCAAGTGGTAAGACTTTTTGATTTGATTAAGTGCTTCCACTGTCAATAGAATCGCTCTTAGTCACTAACTTTGGCATCGGAGTACCTTCGGCAGGTACCACACCGGTATCCCTTCCTAAATTTAGGATCCGGCCCCCGCTCGAACCTTCAGACATCACGGAAGAAGGTCACTCCGGTCCTCAACCATCAACATACTTGTAAGTTAGCCTAAACTCTTATCTGTTCAAATTTAGCGCGAACAGAGATGGACGATTTTAGCCCTCAAATTAACGGCCAAATTGACGGAAGGACTCGATTGAAATGGATGAGAGATAGATGACCTAATTGTCTAAAAAAAAAAAAGTTTGATGACTTAATTGCAACTTGAGGTAAAGTTCGGGGACCTCTACAATTAAAAACCCTTTTTTTTAACACCCAAGGCAAAATGATGTCGTTTTGGCCAAGGAAAATTTTTTAAATGACCTGGCCAAAATGACATTGTTTTGGTCCAGGTCTTTTAAAAAATATATATATATATCCCAGCTTCTTCTTCCTCGTGTAGGTGCCGCACCAGATTCTCTGTCGCTACCAGAGAGATGAGAGACGGCCACAAACTCGTCTCTCTCTCTTCTTCTTCTTCTTCTTCCTTCTCATCTTTTCTTTTTCTTCTTCTTCCTCCTTCCTTCTCATCTTTTCTTCTTCTTCTTCTTCTTCATTCTTCCTTCTCTTTTCTGTGGCTACATACTCCTCTCTCTCTCTCTCTCTCTCTCTCTCTCTCTCTCTCTCTCTCTCTCTCTCTCTCTCTCTCTCATTTGTTTGTTCTTAACCGGTAACCGACCATCATCGAATAGAACATACCGGCTGACGGCGGTGCATTGGTGCTCTCTCTCTCTCTCTCTCTCTCTCTCTCTCTCTCTCTCTCTCTCTCATTTGTTTGTTCTTAACCGGTAACCGACCATCACCAAATAGAACATACCATCTGACGGCGATGCATTGGTGGTTCCCATTTTAGCCATACCGCAGCCTCTCGAACAGTTGCCGGTTCCATAGTTTCGGTGCAGTTACCGAACCGAAAACAACCCTACTAGCAACACCTTGAGCATCAATATCTAAGATGGCACTAATAAAGGCAAGAGTTTTTTTAAAAACATGGAGACAATAACTAAACTCATAACTTTTGGTAGCGAAGGCATCAGCGGCATAATACCTAGCTCCATTTTCAAAGGAGTGTAAGATAATTGGTTTATAAAATGTTATGTTATAGGACTTATGGTGATTAATCAAATAATTCACACCATTGTAACAAGTTTTATTTTTTAAAAAATTGGCGAGGTCATGCCAATATAGTGTACCTTTCAATTTTGTGTATTTGATACACAATATGATATGATAATTTGTAAATATAATTCATTTAAATTGTAGTACGTGTAATATTTTTAATACATAAACTGTCATAATTTACATGAATCGAATTCACCATCAACATGTCGTGTGTTGTATTTAATTCACCATCACATGTGTTCCATATCATCAGTTTAATAAATTTTTGGATAGAACCTAACGACAAGGACTATTAGTGACCACAAATATTACCCTTGAGGACCACAAATATTAAAGTATGAGTCATGATATTAGTTCAACACATGACAAACACAAACCAAAATCTCTAAACACATATCCAATGATATAACGCCATGTTGGAAGTTTCAATTATGTGAAAGCTTGAAGGACTCAAATTGGGAACTGGGTTTTCTAAGCACTCGGGTTTGGGATGGCCGAGATGGCTGTGATGGGAAATGACAAAAGGTGTGGGCTTGGGAAAAAGATGGGTTTTGAGTGATGTTACTGTTCGTAGGGATGGTGTGTTTTTGTTGAGTTTGTGAAGAAAGCTGGCCATTTGGGGGCAGAGAGAGAGGTATTGAAATCGATGAAGAAGAAGTTACAGTGTTACAGAGTAACTCGCACCTTGGAGTTTGCTTATGAAAAGGGTTTCATTTCAAAGAGGAAAATGGCGATGGATGGGGTGAACAGGGGGCGCTGGGTTTGTTGGGCTGGGAAGGGGCTGGAATTTTTTAAGTTATATAATTTTTTTTAGGAACTGGTTGGTTAATAGTTGGGTCCCATAGTAGACACGTCAGCATTTAACGATTGACCACACAATCAACTTAATGGAAGGATGAAATTGGATGATGTTGCAAACGTAAGGGTGTAAATTGATAAAATTGATAACTACCCCAAACCTTCAGGGTGTCTTTTGTTGTTAGCCCAAAAACTTATTTTCATGATCTTATGATAGTTTTGTTGAATTTGTTATATTCAATTTTCTCTTGGCTTACCATTGTTGTCTTCATTATTTTAAAATATTTTGGGCCTCGCCAAGTTGGATGAATACTAAAGATAGTAAATGAAATTAAAATTGATCGCTGAACTATGTTGATGTTAAAGTAAAACAAATTGGACATATAAAAAAAATTAAATGAAGAACGTATAATTTTGTTATCCTTGAACAACTAATGACATTAGGGTCATAACCTATAATTTTCATCTCCTCAACAGAAAGGTTGGAGTTTTCTCTATGATACGAGAGAACCAGGTGACCAGAACAGTATATGAGGGTGGTCGAAAGCCTTGAGGGAGAGAGAGCCGAGAGTGTCGTGAGTGTGTGTGTGTGTGTGTGTGTGTGTGTGTGTGTGTGTGTGAGAGAGAGAGAGAGAGAGAGAGAGAGAGAGAGAGAGAGAGATTCGGCTAGGGTTTTGAGTGTGAGTTTAAAATTACCTCATATGTGTTGTGTAGCCATGTATTTATAGACTCCTTGTTTGGCTAAGGTTTGAGTAATAATCCTTATTTAAATAGGATTATTCACCCAAAAAAATTATAGGAATTAATCAAAGAGATCTGCTGGAAATTGATTCCTTGATTTAGGGAGATATTTTTATCTTAAATCAAAGATAATTCCTTAAGAGTGCTGCTATTTCCACCCACCTATTATATTTTCACACCCACCTTATCTTCAAATTTTTAAAGATAAATATACCCATTTGTAAAAAGACTTCTAAGGACTTAGAGAAAATGATTAAAAACCAAAACAATTGCCTCAACCTTAAAATTGAAAAAAGTTAAATTAAAAAAAAATCCAAAGCACAAATATCAAACGTCAAATTTCTCGTTTCCCAAGTACATGCGCCTTCAGTTTTTTTTTCTTCTCTTTTTTGGGTCAGAGTCTTCAGCTTCTTATAGGAAAACTGAGAACAGCTAGCAGCTTGTAACTATGGGCGATTCTTCAAATTTCCTATCTCATATTATTGCACGTTCTCTACCATCCACTATTCCCAAATCTGATTGGTTTTCAAAATAAGTTATGCTCATAACTCGTGAAAATGAAAGAATCATATCCTAGCATTAATTCATCCCATTGGCATTTGATTATAGAATAAAAGTTTCTTCAATTGCCCAATTTTTCCTCATTTTCGTACCAGCCCCAGATTCATCGTTGGAGATATATTCTTTTGTATCGTCAAAATTGTTTTAAAAGAAATATAAATCACTTGTAAATAGAGAGAAGTTCAATTGTTTGTGAAATTAAAGTGCAAGAAAGAGAGAGATTTTGGTGGTTTATAAACACATAAAGATTCAGACCATTTGTTTTAAAAATTAGAATCATACTATTTGTTCTCAGTTTTCATAGCTCTTGGAAGAAAGATTTGAAAAAACTAAGAACAAATAATCCGAATTCATTGTACAGAGGCAATTTATTTATTTATTTATATCTAATTGTGATATGCCAACTTTTCAGCAATTAGATTAATTTAAATGACATCACTAGTTAACAAACTCTTTAACTTTTTTTTTTTTTTTTTTTTTTTTTTTTTGTTATAGTAAAAGTCATTCAACAGTCAAAACACAGACTCAAGCGAACAAAAAATGGCCTCATCAAAACTTTGTCTCAGAAACCTTGCTTGAATTAATAATTAAAGAGTGTTTTAGGAATAATGGTGGGTGGAAAGATATGATTGTATTTTTTCAAATTTACATAATGGGTGGGAAGATAAGGTGGGTGAGAAAATATGACAGGTGGGTAGAAATAGTAGTACTCTTTCTTAATTAAATTGGATTTAATTAGGGTAATTATTTGACCTAAGAAATATCATTTTTTCTACATTCTTATTGGTCGCCGAAATATATGTTCCCGCACATATCATACCTCAAGTGAGTTAGATACACCACATCAACATGTCAAGAAATACAGTATACTATTGTATAAGTTATCTTGGTTTTAGACATTCGGTTGATGTTTATCACGTGGTGAACTAATATTATGACTCAGACTTGCATAACTATATATGCTAATACATTATTCCAAATATTGCTTTCTAAGGCAAATGAACAATGTTTTATACAATCTGTATATTCAAAGAGCTCAACAAGTTTGACCTAACCCAAAATTTCGGGCTTCGGCTATCCCAATTCGTCAGTTTTATATTTAATGGGTGTTAGTTGGATTGGCCCAAGCTTTTGATGTGCTCTTAAGTGGTCATAAATTCAAATCCCCATGGTACTTGTGTGTGAATTTTCCCTCTCCTCTTTCTAACTTTGACGCAAAAAAAAAAAAAAAAAAAAATATATATATATATATATATCTCACAAATATAAATTCAAAATGAGAAAAGAAAAACTGTATCTAAAATCATTTTACAACAAATATGTGTGTAAGAATGGCAAGTGTCAAACTGTCATGTATTTCAGTCGGGTCCCGTTAGCCTGCTAAGCCTACCCAACCCGAGAGACAAATGGGCTAATGAGATCCCTGAAAAGTTCACCTAATGCAGCATACTCCTCAAACGCTTTGACATGAGCCCCAAACCGAAAGAACTGCGGAAGAAACAACCAAAAGCAGGTCCCCATCACGAATCCAACGGTCAACAATCCAGAGACCAACCTCGGCAACCGCCACCTGCCGGCCGACCATGCCTTCTTCAAAGCAATCTCAACCGTCAAACAAATCCCATGCAGTAGAAAAAAGCACGTGACCCCCCACGTGGGCCGCATCCTCCCCATGTGATAAAACACGATTTCGTGCATCAAAGCTGATACCACAAACGTTGCGAGCACTGCGGGCAGCGGTGCCCACTTGCGATCAACGACGCGTCGGGAGATGTCGAGGATGGGCTCGTAAACGGTGGGTCGTAGGATGCTGGTGACCATGAGGTTCCATCGTCTGCCCCAGAAGTCTTGGAGTGAGGTGGAGAGGTAGGGCTCGTTGAACTGAGGCTCCAGCTCGATGGCTAGGAGGGCTCGAGCCAGGGTTGCAACGAAGGCTAGGATGAGTTCGAGGAGCAAGTACATGTGCAAAGAATAGAGAAGCAACAGGGCCTTTGGATGGATTTGGCCACTGTAATCATAGGCACGCAACAAAATGCCAAACAGCAGACCCTTTGTTACATAATTTAGAGGGACTCTATGGCCATGTTTTGGCTTTTGGGGAATTGGGTTTTCTTTGTTTTGGCCATTAATATGTGATTTTGGTGTAGATGGATGTGGGTTTTGTTTGAATTGGCCATCAATATATGATTTTTGGGGACCATTTTGGTGATTTGCAGGTGGGTTTTCTTTGTGTTGTTGTTGGCTATTTTCATTTTGGGTATTTTTGTGTGATTTTGCTGGAGAGGAGTTTTCTTTGAATTGGTTGTTTTGATTGGTTAGAGATGGGATTGAATCATTTTGGGTGTTTTTGTGTTTGCCTAATGAATTTGTGGGTGGGTTGTTTTGTTGGATCTTGATGGGAAGGCAAGCAACAGCAACAAAGCGACCAAGAGAGATTGGTGGGTCAGAAGACAAAGGTCCTTTACCAAAAGCCAAGAGGAAGAGCTTGAAGTTGGCAAGCCAAGAAATGAAAAATGATGTAACGCCCACAAGATGTATGGAGGAGAGAAAGAGAGGAAGGTAGAGAAAGAGACACACAATTGGAAGCAAACAAAGGAGTCTTGTGCAACCTTTGGGAAGTAATTTTGCGGTGGCATAGCAGTAACATAGACAAAGATAGACTGAGAGCCATACCTTGAAGAAGTTGCTCATCTCGCCCTCCATTTGCTCTTTTTTTTCTGATCCTGTGTTCTTGATGAAAAATTCGTAACGAGGGTGTTTTGACTTAACAAATATAGGTTTTGCGAAAGAAATCTCAAGATTTTCCGCTAATATTATTAATATGACACCAACTCTGCCCCAATGAGGGCGAAGGAGGTCTATATTGACCCCCTTTTTTTTTGTTCTTCCATTAATATGAAATGAATATGCAGTATCCCATGTGAATAAGGCGTTCGATAAAATACGAAGAAACACTTTATAAGCTTTAGCACGCCATGTGCAAAAGTTTCTAGCTCCACTACAAGTCAACGATTATGGCCTCCATCCATCATAATTAGAGATCACTGATCAGCAATAGGTGGCATGATGCAGAAGAGTCAGCCAGCTATGGTCATTGACCTCAACCATGGCGATCAAGGTGATGGCCACGGTTTGATTTTTGTTTTTTTTTCTTTCTAATTTTTAACTAGTTTGTAAGGGTTTAGACTTCAAAGAAAACTCCTCTCCATTGAAATAAAACCCTAGGTATTATTACACAAAGTATACATGTACATACATGAGATCATGCGTATCAAGATCTCTATCCTCTTGTTTTCTTCTGAAAAGTTCATACAATCTGTGAGAGTCATGATATTATTGAAGCATATCACAAGAATATGTACTCAAATGATAATTACCAATACCTAATGTCGGAAATGAATGTGGTAAATAATTACTTGAGTGAGTATCAAATGATTTCGGACTGGTAATGCTGCAACATATTCAAGTTGACAAAAGGTCACTTTTGCTCTCTGTAGTTTGCTACTTTTATCATTTTGGTCCCTATCATTTCAATTTGATCAATTTTGTCCCTATAGTTTTCAATTTAAACAATTCAAAGACAATCTTTAATTTGTGTCAAAAAAAATTTCACTTCTGTTCCTTGTGGAAGGGCAATTCTGTCAAATTATTTTTAAAAAATTAATTCCATTTAAAAATAAACAATACAAAATGAAATTTTAATAATAAAATATATGCTTATTTATTGTAGTGCCCCTTGAAACTATTGTCAAATCTCACTTTACCCCTGAAAATTAAAATGACCCAGAATGCCCCCCCCGACCAAGGTTTGGTGGTTCAATTTGCCCCTCACCGTTACTCTATCAAAAATTCTGTTAAAAAATTTGACATGGCATGAATGGGACCTATCCTTTTGCTGAAATGTATGCCATGTAAGTGCCACATGGGAAAAAATATATTTTATTTAACAAATAGGAAAAAAATATTTTGAAAATTACTTTTTTTTTCTCTTCTCTCTCTCTCTCTCTCTTTCTCTGTTTGTACCCGACCCCTCCCCCCGCCCAAACAACTACCCATCACGACACACCCCCACCCCCACCCCCGCCCTCACAGAATCGCCCATAGCCTGCGGCGGCCTTTTCTCCAACCGTGTCTCCCTCTCAAACCCCAAATACCCCACCACCACCCTCTAATCTCAGCCCTTCGATCTCTCCAAATGGGACCCATACCTCCCCCAATCCTCACCGTCCACTTCATCATCCAACCCTGCCAACAGGACACTCCTCTCATTCCTCTCCCTCATTGCGCAAGATCCAGAACCACTAGGATCCGCCAGTCATCTCGGGGCTTTGAAAGCTTCCCCGGGTTACGCCCGAGCTCGTCGCCGAGGTGGTCAAGGTCCAAAACGACCTCGTCACTTGGTATGGGTTATGGGTATTTTCTATTTGATTTGGAAGGAGATTCGATTTCTTTTTAATTTGAGACTTGGAAATACCTACTGAAAATGCAAGATGCGAGTGGTTTAATTTGATTTCTATACTTGCATGTGGATTTGGGAGCATCCCCAAAAGTTTTGAAATTTAAATGAAGAGATTTCTATGTAAGTTGTCAGGACATTATAACCCAAATTCGATTTTTCTAAAACTGAGGTGGGTTTGTAGGTAGGGCTTGGTAGGGGAGAGAGTGAAGAGAGAGAAAAATAAAATTATAAATTTTTTTAAGAATAATATATTTTATTTTATTTTTTCACACGTGGCATATATTTCAACAAAATGGTAGGTCCCATTCATGCCATGTTAGTATTTTTAACAACAAATTTTACAGAGTTAACGGTGGGGGTCCAAAGTGAACCACCAAAAAAAAGGTAACAACAAATCACTTGAAGGGCATTTCGGTCCTTGGTTTTTTATTTTTTGGGTTTTGGTTACCTTTGTTTTTGGACCGAAATGCCCCTCAGCAACTAACGACAGTTATTCCATTTTGACAGAAATTGATGATTGTCCTTGAATTGCTTAAATTGAAAACTGCAAGGACAAAATTGATCAAATTGAAACAATAGGGACTAAAGTGGTAAAAGTGGCAAACTACAATGACAAAAAACGACCTTCTGCCTTCAAGTTTTGATCGAAACTCCTAAAATACTTTGATACTGAATTTCACTTAGATACCAAGAAGATATGGGTAAAGCCTATCCCAATATACAACTTCAAGTGATTTTTTTGTATAAATGATCTTTGAAATCACTTTTAGTGGTATGAAAAAATTGCCAATATAAAAATAGACTACATAAGCACAACTCTTTCAACATGGGCGTAACTAGGTTAATGGCTACAATTAGGCCTAGACATGGTCAGGTTCAGCCCAGTTATCAAGTAAAACTGAAATTGGAATCGATACTATTCATCCAGTCCGGTTCAGATTTTAACTAAAATGCTAAAGGAAACAAGACCAACTTTGAAAGATTTAGGTTCAATTCGATTCTGGATTTTCACCGTTTGGACCAGTTCTTTAGCCTAATTGATATTTTTACTAAAAGCAATGGAGCAAATCAACGAATCCATACAAGAAAAACCAGATATGAACCTTAAAAGATACCCAAAAAAAACAACTATCCAGCAAAACAGATCCAATCCTAGTAATATCTTAATTCACCAAAGCAAACTCTCATGCCAAGCATGTACAAAATCAATGCACCATCTCCAACTCTTTCCAGAGCCGTCGAAAATGTCAACACAAAACACGCAGCCAGTGAAAGAAGAACATAGTACTCCCTTAAGACTTGCTTCTCCCTCAGAATGCTTTGGGCCTAGTTCTCGCTATCTTGGAAAAAAGGGCGACAAAACCTTGATTCACCACTCTCTGGCAATCCAAGAATCACCAAGTCCGGACAAGCTTTCTGACGAAAAAAAGACCCCAACATAAGGTAAATTAACGATACCATTTAATTACAGAGCTAAATTGGCTGAAAAATTGTCAGAGGTAATTTCAACAAGCTTAGTTCGGGGGGTTAATTGGCAGAAAACCCTTAGATTATTTTGAATAATTTAGACTACCATTTATATTCAATAAAATAAAATAAAATAAAAGCAATAAGTCAATTTTGACAGGATTTTCCTTCTTTAAAGTTTTTTTATAACAAGGTTTTAATGAAGCCACTCTAGGAGCACCTCGTTTGTTTCCACTTTTTCTAGTGTACTAGTTTCCTTTGATTGGCAATAAAGTTTCTTCCTTTTGATTAAAAATAAAAAAATAAAGACTATTGTAAAATATAATAATTTATGATATGGAATGGTCAATTTTGTCATTCAAATCATGTTATAAACACAATGAAAGAGTGCTAAAAACGAACCCTAAAATTAACTGAGTACCCCCTATTACCAAACTATTTATTAAATTACTAATTTACCCTAATATAAAATGACCAAAAAAGATGTGTTGAATTGTGAAACAAATGTAATTTTAACAAGTACACTCTACTCACCATTTTCAACTCTAATCAAACGTAAGTGAAAAATATCTACATTTTTCAAAAGGTAAAAAACATATCTGTTCGGAATTTGATGAAGCCAATTGATTTTGAAATATGAATCCAGATTTAAGCAACATGCCACTCAATTGTAATAACATAATGAAATGCATGTATAGAATTCGGCAAACCTTGGCTGCATTGGGGAACTTGAATACTCTGGAAGCAGCATTCTGGCTGAAACCTCCACTACAACTTCCACCAAGTCCCAGAACATCTTTTCCCGACGAGGAGAACTTTTGAAAAGGAAATGCATGACAAGTTTCTTCAGCTTCCAAAATAGATAAGCATGAGTCATGAGTGGATGGCCCTGGACCTTGCGGACTATTTATTCGGGTGGCAACAAAACCTTGGTGTGAATCAGAAATTAGATGAGTTGGTGGCAAGCCTGCATCGCTCCCAGTTGATTGTGCATCAATTCGGTTGAGTTTTACTGTAAGGATGCTTAGAGAGGAGGCGACCAATGCTTCAGAGTGTATTAGGGTATTAGTGGTATCTTTGGTAATTAAATAGGGTATACTTAGTTAATTTTATATTTTAATTTAAATATTAAGGTATACTTAGATCATATGGTGTGCTCAGTTAATTTTAGGATTCGTTTAGCAACACTCTAATGGAATTGACCAAAACATTAAACTTCGTAATCCATTTGTTCAAGGTCTATAACAATTTGCCTTTGGTCATTGTATTTTAAGAATGAGCAAAAATAATTTTAAAGTTACAAATTATTACATCATTGGTCCGACTTTTTGTCCAACTATTTTAAGTTAATCGTCATTTTTTTACAAGCCAATGAGTGACTTGTATAGATACCATTTTCCCCTCTCACTATATTATTATTTTTTGGTCGAATCCCTCTCACTATATTCATAAGATTAAGATAAGTTGACCTTTATAACTTATAAACATACATATTCGGTGTATATATTGGTGTGTTCATAATGTGAGGTGTACGTATCCTCTTGGATTCCAATTACAATTTACAATGTGGGCTCCCAAGACAAATAACCCAGAAAAGAAACCCCTCTCTCTCTCTCTGTCTCTCTCTCTCCCTTTTTTTTTCTCTCTCTAGGCATATCCCCTTATATACAATACAGACACCGCACAAACGGTTGTAGAAGACGACACCAAGAAAACCCAACTTCAACCAATTTTGATAGCAATTCGTTTATATGATCACATCATACATATATTATCAAAAACCACCACAACAAACTCTCTTCCAATCCAGAACTCCAAAACTCCAAAACCCAAAAGCAAAGTTGAAGCCTTGATTAGATTATATGGGGTACCTTTCTTGCAAAGCTGAATCAGCCATCTCCGTCTCCAATTCCCAAACCTCATCATCCAAAACCACCACCACCACCAACCCAGAAAAACCAATCAAGATCCAACACTTTGACTACAGTGATATTGAGGCTGCCACCAATGGCTTCTCCGACCAAAAGCTTTTAGGCAAAGGCAGCCATGGCTATGTCTACAAAGCTGTACTCCGTGGCCGTCTTGTTGCTGTTAAGAGACCCTCCAGAGCTCACAGCCAAACTCTCCGACCCACCTCATGTTCTGCGCCAGAGACCACCAACGAGGTCGACAACGAGATCGAGATCTTGTCCAAGATTCAGAGCCCAAGGCTGGTCAATCTTTTGGGCTTTTCAAATGATTCAAAGGACAGGCTTTTGGTGGTGGAGTTCATGAGCAACGGTACGCTCTATGATGTTTTGCATTCTAGTGCTAGGCCTCCCAATTGGGGTCGTAGAATTAGATTAGCTTTGCAAACTGCTAAGGCCATTGACACTTTGCATTCATCAAACCCGCCTGTAATTCATAGAGATATTAAGTCTGCTAATGTTTTAATTGATCGTAGTTACAATGCCCGGCTGGGTGATTTTGGGTTGGCTCTAAGGTACTGCCATTTTGATGACTATAGACTCCGGTCAACCCCGCCGGCAGGGACTATTGGGTACTTGGACCCTTGCTATGTGACCCCTGACAATTTGAGTACTAAAACTGATGTTTTTAGCTTTGGGATTTTGTTGTTGGAGATTCTAAGTGGTAGGAAAGCCATTGATGTTGCGTATTCTCCACCTTGTATTGTCGATTGGGCGATTCCACTTATAAAGAGAGGGAAGCTGATAACTGTTTATGATCCAAGAATTGAACCTCCCAAAGACCCTATTGTGAGGAAGCAGTTGGCTGTCATTGCAGCCAAGTGTGTGAGGTCTTGTAGGGAGCGTAGGCCGTCAATGAAAGAGGTGGTGGTTTGGCTTACTGGGTTGAGTAAGTTGGTCCCTCTGCACTCATGGAATGGTTTTAATAATCCATGTACAATGGTAGAGACTATGGGACAACCGGTTGAATCAAGGAATGCCCATTTGCGTTCAAAGCTAGAGGGTGTTGGTGAAGAGAATTTGGAAGCCTTGGATGCTAAGTTGACTAGGCAAGCCCTGAGGAATTCCCGCAGAGTTTACTCTGATTTGGGGTTTAGTAGCAACCTGATGGAGCTTATGGCAGGTACTGATGGAGAGTCTGAATTTCGGGGTAATGCAGATGGAGATGAGCCCAATTTAAAATCACGGAATCGGGTTTCTAGATTTGGTAGTGAAAGATATGTTGGTAGAAGGAGTGCTCAATCAACTCCTGGTCATGGGAAAGAAGTCCCTGATTTGATCCGAAATCCTTCATTTGGGAAAAGATCATTTATATGTTCAAGGAGAGATGATGCAATGCCTCATGTGAGTGGTAGTTCCCATCCAGCTGGTGGTATACTGCTGGCTGCATAAATATTATTTGAAGTGAATAGAATGGATTGGTGGCCATGTAAGCTCTCTTGCTTGCAAATTTTACATTGATGTAGATTTGCTGGTATCTCATTTATTCTGGGTTTTATTGCCTGACCTCTTGTGTATTCATTAATTTGTTCATGAACTGTTAATTACATGACAGTAAAGGGCACATTTCTGATGTTCCAATTTTAAGTTGTTGATCGTTTTTGTTTTTCATCTTTTGAAGTTGTTTAATGATGATCTATGATACGAATGCCTCTTACTAAGTACTTAATGATGATTGCATTCCCACCAGTTGGATACTGAGTTGATTTTATACTTAGAAGTTCATATTTGCCACTTAAAATACATACAGTAACACTTCTTCTTTTCCTTGCATTTCTGCATTTTTTACACCAGAAATTTCAAGTGGAACACAACGCATAAGTTCTATCTCCACAATTTCAGGGATCATTAGAATTTGCCAAGTAAACAGTATTTTTGAAATAGAATGAAGGATAATAAACTAGGACAAGATTTTAGCATAATGAGTTCGAAGATTTCTTGTCGCCCGTTGCATAATGCTGCACAGGAGAACTTGCAATCTGTTTTTTGGGTACTTCTGAGAAATGTCTCCTACATTCTCATATGTCACGATGTTTCTGGGAGTCTACTGTTCGACAAGCAAAAGCTGCAGCAGCGTATTTGTGAGGCTTCTGCCAAATAGCTTCTTGTGGTTGATTGTAGATTTTGGAAGATATGATCATCTATATATTTACATGAAGTCTGCTTCTTGATTCTGTAATGAAATGAAGAATACTTGGCAAATCCTTCCTCAGGAAATGTACACAATACCGGATGTACTTGGATTTATAATTCAATATTTTCTGTGTTTTTAACAAAAAGTATTTAATACAAGAGCACTCTCTAAAAGAAAGCATAAGAAAAAGGGACAAAAATAGAGGTTGGCTTAGATGAAATGTACATATTCTTGTAACATAAGCCATGATGGACCAATAAAAAATTTAACAAATATATAAAGTTGAAAGCTTGTCATATATAATGGAAATCTTTAACAACCAATCTTGCAGTTTCAAAATTTCCATCATTCCATTGATTTGTTCCACACATCATTGCAATCTCAAACTAACTAAATCATCAACATTTCCAATCACTAGTTTCCAAACTTTTCTTAATCTTTGACCTAAAGTAAACACCCAAAGCATGATGAAGTTGGATTTTTATTTATACAAATACATATCACATCAGAACGTGTTTGTATTCATTAAATCGAACGTATTTATATCCGTTAAATCGACGAGTTCACTCTTCTAATAAGAGATCATATTTTCATCGAGTAAGTTACCTCTGCTTATATTCATGATCATGTATTGAAACAGCTTATTAGTCAATTAATGCCTTCTAGATGGGTTTGAAAGTCGGTCGACAATGCAAAATTATATTTTATTAGGAATATATTGGAAGTTTGAACTTAGATCATCACTTTGAATTCTTGTTTGACTCTCTCTTACCGTATCGCACTGTTGCTTTGTTTCTCCATCATGAAAATGGACCAGATTGGTCAGGTAAATCTCATCTGTAATCTTTAACCGCAAAGCATCTTTACTTTTCACTTTTCCTTCCCTTCGTTTCCTTAATCATATGAAACAGTATCAAGTTACATTTACCAAATTTATTAACCACCTAAATCCTACTTATGTAAAATGCGGTCTAATAATTGTATGACAATCTATCAAGTTCAGTTTTATAACATGAGATGATATGCTTATCAAATGTCACGTAGGTTGGGACAAAAAATTGGGGTTTTAAGCATTTTTCATATGCATAACACATCTTTCGATTACATTAGCTAGCTAGCGATATTATGTTGAAATGGGAGTCCACTTGTTACATTAATTATTATCATCATAAACTCATCACTTGTCATATAATGTCGCCTAAGATGGTCCAAAATATTAACCTTTAGCATTACTCGTATATTATTGGTTTAGCTACGATAAATCTATAAAATTTATTTTCTTTCAAGTAAATTACTAACTAGGTCTTAGTTTAACGGTATTTCTCTTTCAAATATTAAAAAGAAGCTTCGAGTTCAAAACTCCAATCCCCAAATGATAAAACTGAAAATAAAAAGTACAAGTTCAAAACGGACTCACATACCCTTTCATCTAAGGCTTAATATAAACTAATTCAAACCTTGATCCTTGATTGACGTATTCTGCTGTTCAAGAAAAGGACTGCACTGCACCAACAACTGCACAGACACCAAGTTAACTTATTGCTGCAGCCAAACATTCTCTTTATTAATCACTATTTTAAATTCTGTATACTGTAGTTGTGGCATAGCTATTGTTTGTTTCCTATTTGGAATGAATAAAAAGACAGTTGAAGTACAGACAAATTCAAGACCCCTAGGAAGGATTCTAACTCAAAAAAGAAAAAAACATGGTTTCAAAAAAAATCAAAAAGATCTAGAAGAGGAATTGTGTCTTTAGCTCTTAGCATCAAGTAGAAGCAACTATATTCCTTTCCATATGTCAAGGCTTTACAGCTCACTTTTTTAATCTATTGCATGTGCCCCTCGGCCTCTCGTTTGAAATTCTGATATTTGAATAAAAAGGAAAATTAAAACAATAATCAGTTTTCTTAATCGAAAAATAAGTAAAAGCGTTATTGTTCTCTCTTTTCTCTTTCTTAAACCTGAAAACCGAAATGGTTATAAAACGGACTTGATCTGGTAACCTAATGTGTGACAATCTTTTGGCCTTGATGAGACCATTTGATTAATGTCCAAAAACTCGGGTTTATAAATTTTACAATTGATGTAAAATTCACTAGGATGTTTTATTAGTTAATTTCTCCATGTGTTCAAACAAAAATATATCCATGAATTCAATGTGTAAAAGGAAAATTACAAAATGATTACACGGGCCTAGTGATTATTACAATTTTGTTCTTTTTTCTTCTTTGAAAACAAAATCATGAGAAGAAATGCTACTTTTGGAGAGGGTAAAGGGATACCATCATCACGGATTGTTCTTCTACCAAGATGGGGAAAAACGTCAAATCTTGACAAACCGACCAAATGACATTGATAGAAGTCAGCTTAAAATTCTGTTGTGAGTGAAATTTTTTAGAAAAAAATCTTGATAGAAAATGAAGATGATGTACCCTATGGGATATGTGCAATCTTGGACTGCCCGTAGCAATTCAACCAATCATTCATTCAACCGTATTTTGGAAGGGCTAAAAGTGCACTACTTTATTGGAGCAAAATGTCTTATTTGAAGTATGACAGCCCAACTTCAGTTTTGGGGTGAATTTGCTACCTCCATCCATTTCCGTTAAAACTTTTTTTGCAGATATTTCTAAAGACACCCATAAAATATTTTTAGACACCCCAATTCATACAAACTTATCAGGAAATTCCAATTAATTCTACCCCTTTAATTTAAAAGGCAAATATTCAAAAGAATACAAAAACAGAATCACCCTGACCGCGCTGTCCGCAAAGACTCAACTCCCGGCAGCTCTCATGCCTTTTTATTTTTTTGGTCAATAAGAACTTTCATTGAAGGAGAGCAGTCCAAAAAGATTACAACTCAAATAAGGAGAAGCAGAGCCATGCGACAAAACAAAAGTGCATGCAAAGCAAATAAACTCAATATACCCTTACAAACTGCTACAAGAAAGAGCCCCACAGTATGGAAGTGGTACGACAATCCAAAATCAGTCTCTTGGCCATCTTGAACAGCGCATGCCTTGTAGAGCAGCAAAAAATCACCGAAATCCCAATTACCCAATTACATTCACAGATTCTTATGTTACGGTTGTCTTGTATATTCACTTCAATTCAAAAAGAAATATACCGTAGAGAGATTTTAGCAAGTACACGCCGTGTAAATTTTCTTGGGTAAACCTATTTACCAAGTACATGGGCAGTATCTGCCGTTGGATGAATATGGCTGAATCAATCAAACATTTCAAGGGTGGAAAAGGGGCCTTTTTTTTTATCATTTTCTCTAAATTTTTCACGTGAAAATAGAATATAACAGAGATCAAACAAAACGATTACTTACTAAACGTGCATCTCTTTTTCTTTGACTTTGGCCTTGTGAAAGTGATCACAAACACAATTTTCTTTTCAAATTTACAAAGCATATGGTACTTTGAAACCACAAAATAATCATGGAAGAAAACATGACAATATATTACAATTCCACTGCCATGAATAACAGGGCTAACCCATTATAAATCATTTGGGCAACCACAATTCACAGCAAAAGGTTTCTCTATAAACTGATACACAACTTTCGGACCCAAAAAAATAAAAACTGATAGTCGGTCAATCATTTTCGACAAAACTGAAGTCATCAGTCTAATTTTGTGTTCATACAATGAAAACACAAAGGTGGTACAATTTCATGCCCATGGCAAAAATGATACCAGATCACCAGAGAAAGCTTGAAGCAGCTCGGTAAACATTCTATGAATTTATATAAAAAAAAAAAAAAAAAAAATTTAAAAATAAATAAATCTCTAAGTACTACAAAAATAAAATGGAAAGTCAACAAGAAGTCCATTAATGTGCAAAGACTATTTCACTAACTGCTTTCAAACCAACTAATTTCCTTCCAAAGTTAATTGACAGCTAGTCAAAACCCTTGAGCCAAAATCTTGAGATGCCCTTCTTGTATGCATAAAAACAAACGGTCCCGTGCGCCAAGCATAACCAGAATGAAAAAATTCCGGAACCAAACAATCAGACTCTTGGGAATCTCAGCCTTCTTAGCTTAGTCTCACATTTTGCCTTGTCTTGATCATCCGCTTAAGGGTTGCAAGCCAGAAGTTGCACTCATCCCATTCACTAGTGGTAAGAAGCACCTGATAGCAGGCATAAACAAAAGAAACCAATAGTAAAGCTCAGCCATTCATGGTGTGCCAAAATACATTAGGAGCCTAAAGTTTCCAAAAATGTACCTGGATTTGCAGGGCAGTACCGAAATCACCATTATCCAATGCCTGGCATAGCTGAACAAGCTTATCAGCAGCATTTCTAGATATGTCCCCACTGTTGAGTTTGGCAAATAATGCACCTATCTTCCTCGAATTGTCTTCTATTTCACGCTTCTTGCCAGGATTTGCACGAGAACCTCCCAACGCTTCAGATGTCTCATTGAAAAGTCTTGTTAATGTTGCGATAACGGATTTTTGTTGGGCTGTAGTGCATTATCCACAAATAAAACAAGATTGTTACACAACCACAGGTTGGAAATTCAATGTGGAAAAAAAGAAGAGCCACCAAGAAGAAAACTTTCACAGTAAATAAAGAGGGAAGGAGCAAGGGAATGCTGGAGAGAAGTAGAAAACTTTCACAACATAAATGAAAACTACAATTACCAGGAACATTGGATGTATCAACTGTCTGTATCGTGGGTGGTGGCGCTGCTGCAGCCACGGAAGCTCGAGCAGGAGCTTGGTGAGTAGGACTAGGTGGCTGCAGTGAACCCGGATGAGGCCCTTGAACAACTCCCGAATTAGTAACTGGCATAAATCCCCTTGGTGGAGGGGAGGGAGCTACAACATGTGGCTTATTTCCAGGAACTGGAGCCACTTGTGATGTCAGAGGAGCAGCTGAACCAGGCCCCGGTTGCATAGGTTGGAAAGAAGGGATGGTGGTTCCCTGAAACACCAAGGAAAACCTTAGGATAACAGTGATGCAAAAACGTTTCTGATACTTAATTTCACATCAAATGCAGATCTACTGACAGGATACAACTGAGAACCCCAACGTTGGCTGCTGATATTGCTCCACATTTTTCAGCACAGGAGGAGTTGAAGGAATGAAAGGCCTCACTGCAGGCTGAGAGGAAACAGGAGGCACAGAAAATTTCTCCTACAAGCAAACCCCATGCAAAAGTCAAATGAACCAGATCCACATACATTACATGTAGGAAGTGACCAGTGACTTCTTAATAACAAAAAATGAACAAATGCTATCTTTTTACAACCAAATTAATAACTCTTGATACAAAGAGACCCTCACACAAAAAAGTACCTGTGGAACCTGAGGTGCCTGGGAAGGAAGAAACATATGGGGCTGGGATGCTGCCTGATATGGGGCAGGAGCGCCATATCCTCTTCCATATGGGGAATTAACAGGTTCCTGATAACTTTCTCCATATTGACTTCCGGGAACAACTGGTTGCAACTGTGATGGCACTGTTTCCTAACCATTTTAAGAGCAAAAAATTAATCCACATTGAGAGAGCAGATTTGGCAACAAACAACAAATCATAAGAAAATAAATAACTGTGAAAAGTAACTTTATGAACACCTGATAATATGGAGAAGAGGCCCCAACCACACCAAAATTAGATTGATCAGCGCCATATACAGGCCCACTTGCTGCAGGTTGGTTTCCATATGCTGCATTCTTGGAAACATTCTCTGCAGCAATAACGCAACAAATAACATGGAGTGAAAATAAATAATGCGGGTAACAAGTAACGGGATTTTGCATTTTAAGAGATTTAACCACCAAGTTTTATGCATATTGAAACAATAACACTTTTGTCCACCTGTGATAAGATTAATTGCCGCTACCGTTAGTCAAAATTGATGGGTGCTGATTATGTCAACAAAAGTTTTGAGGAAATATTGAAATTTCCAGCATAAAAAAAATACAATATTAAAACACCACATCACTAACTTTTCTAACAGCACATACCAGGTTCTGTAGAAAGAGCAATACGATCCCTTAAGATAACCAGTTCAGGTGACAATTCATCAGAACCCAAGAGTTTTAGGTACTCCATTGCTGTTGTTAAAAGACCTTGACTAGCTAAAATTTCTGCGTATTTCTCAACAAGTTTGCACAAAGAAGCACTAAATCGCTTTTGCCCAGAAGCCAGGGCAAGGACAATCGTCTTCTCCATTAATTCCTAAACAAAATAACAAGACTTTGTTAACCTCATGGCCAAGAGGAACATGATTCAGATCATGATTCAGATCCACTTTGAAAAGATTACCTGAAGAAGGTCAACGTATGATCTTCCCTCATGCTCGGTAGTCAAACACCTCGACCAAATCTCGACAGTTTTATCAATATTCCCCGCACATATATAACAAATAGTTGCTGCCAGGGTATTGCCAGCAACTATGAGTTTGGAAGCAAGTGTATCACAAAGCACAGTCCATTCATCTCTTGATGCAAACTGTTGATTCATGCAAGAAAGGATCACAAAAATCAATTAAAAGATGCAGCAGTTTCAAAGTTAACTTGCTCATGATATTTGTCCCACGATACAGATATTACAGTTTACGATGATTAATGTGTAAAATAACCAAACACACTACTCCGGTACAAATGTTGTAAATGTTTTGCAACTTCAACTCCACCATTTATAATGCACAATTTATGAGAATCAATATAACAAAAAAAAATGTAATCAAACAGAGTGTCATGGCCTTATTTTGATTTCAGGAGTTCGGAAACTTACACTACAGAGAAGAGCAAGTGTTTCTTTCCAGAATTTTAGGGGTCTGGTATTAACAAGGCTCAACAGATCATTGCTCACCATCGCAGAAACAATCTGAAAGTAGGAATGAGCCAGGTTACAACCCTTCAATTTCAACATAATTATGGCAAAATCATAAGACATTATAATCAATCGTTAACATCTTTTCATCCAGATTCATATATTATCAAATATAAAACAATAAGTGCTTCACTGGAAACAAGTGGACTTTACAAACCTTAAGGTAAGGTGAATGGCTCATTTTAAGGTATTGATCCCGTGTGCTCTCCCACAACGAAGCACCACCAGCATGAGCAATAACTAGAGCATCAGCCATTTTATTTGCCAAAATGCATTTTGCAACAGCGCCCTTATAATCTCCGACAACTAAAGCATGTTGAACAGATTCATCAAATGATGGGTCAGCACTCTCCTCCAGTCCATCAGGCTCTTGCTGCATTTCATTTGCAACAGGAACTGTATCCCCCTCAGAAAATTTGTCACCAGAGGTTGAGACAGGAGTATCAGCTTTTGGGCTAGGAAGATTGTTAAAGAAATCTTCTCCATTATCAGTAGGAAAGATGGTGGTTTCCTTATCACTCCCCAGGCCCACTTTATCAGATGTAGTATCCTCAAGCCCAAGCGCATTGACTTCCTGCGATAGATCATCTGGAACACTTTCGTTTGTTTCCTCGGGTATACTGAACCCAAGATGAGTGATCAGCTTTGTCCTTGCAGTCCCATCATCTTCAAGCATAACCCTTAATAAGCCCCATGTTTCCTGGTCATCCTCAGATCTGTCAAAAAAATCATCCAAACAGAAGCAAAAGAGAATGTTAACCGGGATAAAATAGAATCAGTTTCAAGAGATGTTAACTCTCTCGAAGCTCATAAAAAAACTATTTCTTGTCGTAAATAACATACTCAGACTCCTGTGATTTCTTCTCACATAAAGCCCGAAGTAAAGACTTCTCCCCATTTTGTATTGCAGCTTCAAATTCAGATGAGCGATTCACCAAACTATGCTCAGTAACCAAGCTGTGTACATAAACCTGGATAAAAGAAGGAAATGAATTATAAAATGCATCATAACAGAAGACACAGGGAGCATGCCAATAAAGCATACCTCCGAAACACCAGATGAACTATGCTGAAAGGACACAATTTTGCCACCAAAGCCAAAAGATGCACCAACTGGCCGCTTATACCATTTCGGAGCTCTCAGAGGTCCTGCATAGAGAGGATAAAACATGAAATTTTCCAATAACGCACATCTCTCTAAAATTAGCAATTTTTATTTATATGAAATATTCCCAAATTGGCAATTAATGCAAGTCAGAAAGAGAAAAAGTAGGAAAACTCCCACACCCTCCAAAGAAAAGAAGGCAAGAATCGAAAGTAGTACAAGTTATTATTGGTTTATTGGAATAACAACTAATTTTTTTATCTTCTAAGTGATTCAAAAGAATTATATATCTTAGATAATGATTCCATTCAAATTCTTACAACTTGAAGGAAGGGTTTTCAGAAACCTAGAGCTAATACAATGATGCAATCTATAAAAAAACTAGGAAGGGTTTTCAAACACACCCCTTCTGCATTCATTTTCCGACTTAACCTACCATCTAGAAAAAAACTGTAACAAAAATTAAAAATTAAAAAAAATTTAAATATATAAAAAAGGCACAAAAGCTGACCCCAAGCAAAAAGATATCTGAGTGGAGGAAGGAGAAAATCTCTAACCTAAACACAACGCCTCTAATCTTAACTATTTCAAAAACTAAGGATTCTCCTATTTGTACAAAGAAAACCTATTCCGACCCCAAACATCAAAGAATCAATATTAATTATTGCTGCACGAAAAAGTGATTGCGGGCAAAGAAACAAAGTAAGAAAGGCAAAAAACAACTAATCAAGTACTGTTGTAGTGCTTGATTTAAAAAATAAAATGAAACAAAATACTGTTGTTAGTGGCAAAAATAAATAAATAACTTGTCAATGCAATGGTTCCTAATTGTGCATTACCGCCACCAAAATCACTATCCCCAACTCCATATCTACTGCAACCCTGTAAAAGAAAAAAGAAAAAGATTTAAACATGATTAAGTACATTGTATAGCATAGATACAGGCACGCACACATGCGCATTTGTGCAGATTATACCTCCAATATACTTAAAACAAATTGTAAAATAACAGGAGTACATGTACCTATTGCTTCAAACAAATTTTGATTTTCGGAGTGATAATGCAGTAACAGTTGTTAACCATAAAATCTTGTTGCACATATGCAATAACCATCAATCCTTAATTCCATACTAGAAATAATCACAGGAAATCTTCTGATAACATGGATTCCTATTTCTCAATGATATCCCACGATCAAGACAATTGGCTGTACCATTAACCATTCACCAAATATTGTTCAACATTTCACACTTGGAATTTAGTAATCTACATTCCATGACGTCCCACACTACTCATAAGGCAAAATATTTCAGGTATATGATAAGAACCCAAGCATACCTCAATATTGTAAATTCCAATTTTTCCATCAAATGAAGATGCCGATATCACTCCAGGTACTTTTGGATACCAATGTACATCAAAATTCCAGTTGGTGCCTCCTGGCACTTCACAGACAATCTGGACCAATTAGAATAAAAAAACATCAGTCAGAAAATGGTAGTGCAAATTAAACTGAAACTAACAGGAGAGGAAAAAATAAAGTGTAGATAAGATGCAGTACAAAAATTATTGGCCTCATTGAAGAACAGCTAAGGACCATACCTCTGCAGAAACTGTGTCCCAGCAAATAGTTCGATTATCCTTGGCACATGTAAGCAGATAAGAACTGTCATTGGGACACCAAGACATTGCAATTACACCTGGGGTAAGATGTGGGCGTCAAATAATCATAAGAGTTTACAATTAACTTCCAATCGTAATAATATCAGCGAAAAAGTATCCAACAATAATAATCACTGTGCATGTTCAACTACAAACATCATGCATTGGCCACAAAAATTCCTAAAAGCAGAAATAGAAACAAAAGCTATAAAAATACACACAGAGGAAATCGCATCCCCCATAATACTTTTAATTGCATCATTTAACATTCTCTAAGCTGTAACCAAAAAAGCCACTAAGCAAGTACATTTACACATATAGGTGGTATCTCAGTTGCACTCTGAAGATCTTGGTGCTTTCTCCCGCCCCCATTTTCACCAAAAAAAAAAAAAAAAGGACAAACAATAACCAAAAAGGCAATCGTATGGGGTACATATGTGCAATTGCAAGAAATTAATTAAAGTAAGCCTAGCATATTGAGGCTTCAATAAATGAATTGAATCTGAAGAAGGCCCTCAATTCCTTCCAGGATCATAATAGCCTCATTTGTCTTTTCATTTTTTAATGCACTTTAATTCCAAACCCCAACGGAAAGGGCTGAATATCTCAAAGCATATCAAGTTGCAAAGAATGATTTTAACAGCTCATCTGATATCTGTTCCTACGTCAAGTAATTCAAACTTCAACAACAATGAAAATTAGCACTAGGGTTTAAAAAATGGTTTATTAAACCAGAGTAAAACTGAAATTCCAATTATATAACATGAATCCTGTAAAAATAAATTATAACATCCTTAAAACATGAAATACTGCCAAAATAAAAGAAAGAAATAATCATGAATAACTGGTATAGATAAATCATTTTGCCTGTGGTGTTACCTTTGTGTGCCCCACAAACTCTTTAACTGGTGACATTACATTACGCATATCCCAGAGCTGCATGAACTGAGAAGTCAACACATTTGACCACAAAAGAAATAAAATATCATCGGCAAAGTGATTACCCTCAGAGCAGGTGAACCATCTTCATCTGATGCAACAACAAGCTGAGTGGCAATATCAGGATTCCACTGCAAAACAGAGCACCGTCTTCTAACTGAATCTGTAAAACTGCCAGTCAAAGGAGGTCAAGTTAGGTAATGGAAGTGGGCATTCCAGATAACCATTGAGATTTTAAAATACTAGTTCACAGTAGAAAACAAACAAAGTACCTTATCACTGGCTTTTGCTTTTTTAGGTCCCAAATCACTGAAAAATATAAAATATTGAAGTCTCAAATTAGATAAAATGAGACGAGAAAGATAACTTCACAAGTAAAGAATATTCCTCACCAGTTGAACCATTATATGAAGTGGATGCTAATATATGTTGGACCTTGCTATTCCAAGATAAAAATGAAACCTCACCCTGGGCAGCAGAACCACTACCCTGCATAAAGATCTCACAATTTGGATCAGATGAAGTCCATCTAGATTTAATATATTCATGACTAGAGAAAATCCAAAAGAAAAAGTCATTTCAAGCAGAGATGGACAGAAAGAGGGGTCTAATTACAGACTTCTGTTATAACCTGAGGAATGCAGTCACAATAGAGAAATGCCTCCATAAGTTATGAGAATAATTTGAAGAAAAGGACTAGCATCCTTTCCAATTGTCCACTTCTCTTTGCTTATTATGATTGTATATTGCATTCTACATCCAACTTGCTTCTCATTCTTTGTCATCTAAATTGTAAAAAACTAGTATTTTTATTACTTTTTTCTACTAAATCACAAATATATTAAATGTACATACATGTGTACAAGTCAAAAGTCAAAAAACGGTACTTAAAAGTATGTATAACTGCATTTCCTGTAGACTGTAAAAGTGAAGTATGGCAATTAAACTAAAGGTTCTAAAGCCCGGATGAACTAAAAAACAAGAGAATTAATTACAACAAAAATTGAGGATAAACCATACAACACAGACTAGTGGTAAACGTATAACTTAAAACAACTAATAACCACAAACCTTGAGAGGTGGAAAATGAGATGGCTCTGCAGGATTGGCCAAGTCCCAGATGCAAATTTCACCATCATCAGCCCCAGATGCAAGTAAATTTGGTGCAATTGCATTAAATTCAAGACCAAGAACCTGGAATTAAATAACAAAAGTAAAACTTTAGAGTTTGAGAAAATATCCTACCCAATCATCAGATTCCAAGCATTGAAAGAACCAGCAAAAAGACATGCATGCTGAAAAAGAAGAAAACTTACAGGCCCTTTATGTCTTGTGAGATGCCCAACCGAAGCACTTACACCTGCCTCAGGACTAAGGATAAGAAATAATAAAAACTAAGGCCTTTCTGATGAAAACCAAAAATACTTTCTCAAATATAAAAGAAAATGTTTCACAAAACTAGGTGGCAGAAATAACCATTAATATTTTCTTATGTGTGATATTCAAAAAACAACTAAAAGTAACAGGAGTTTGAGTCAAATAATAAATTATTCAAGTAAATATACACTGCTAAAGACTACACGCGAATAAAAAAAGAACTGAAAATACTCAAAAGCATGATCTATGCCCAAGCAATAATCATATTTATATCCCATATTAATCACTTCCATGCACATACTATTACATTCAAGGGCTGCTCTACAATAATTTGCATGAATGAATAAATTAAATTATAAAAGAAATATGCATAAAATAATTTGGGTTTTGGTTCTTATCCATAAGGATCTGTTTGCTTCACCAATATTATCTTAGATACTACTTCCTTCTAGAATCTTGAAAAACCTTCAAGAAACCACCAACTTCAAAGAAATATTGATTTATCATCAGTGGAGTAGACACGAGACATTATTCCGGATCTATCTTAATGGCAACCAATTTGTTGCCAAGACCTTAAAATTTTCACTTATTTTATCAAGAAAATAATCAAATCAAAGTATTTAACCAGCACCTCGATTTGGTTATTTCAAGTGTATTAAACCTCCCTAGAAGCCAAGCATACTGTCAACAGTATACAGGGAACCAAATTCTACCTAAAGCGTGAATTCGAACAGAGTATCATAACGTAAAATTAATGTAATCCGTTGGTTTCTCAGAAGTCAGAAACCATGACTCTCATATACCCTTTACTTCCTTCCACCTTATTTATAGAAATCAACTCTGCAAAAGATACCCTTCATAGAAATCATGAAAATCCCAATTCACATTTATCTACATTTGGATTCCCATTAGCCGAAACTATCATTTCACTCCAATAATAATAATAAACTGGATAAAAAGAAACCAAATCCAAATGAGATTCAATCACCATACAACAGTAAACCGCAATTTCCAGTCTCTTTAACCCCAATTTCCCGTCACCCCAATCAGACTATTACTCAGATCAGAGTCAAACACCCATAAACTATAGAATTTACAAATTATCAACTTCCCCGCATTTTCCGAACATCCATGAAAACCCGACCGTCCACAAACGTAATTCAATTCAATTCAATTCAATTCCAATCCGAAGCAAAAAGAAACGCCAAATTCAAAGGGAATTACCGGATCAGAGTTTGTGGGTTCCAGATATCAATAGTCCCATCGACAAGTCCACCAGCAATGAGCCCTAGCCCGAACTCCTGAGACCCCGATCCAGTAGGCCTGGCCCACGACAACCTGTTGAATTTCTCAGAGCTCGTGGACTCACCCACTACAGGGAGATCACGATCGTCGGACTGAAAATCAAGCTTAAAGATCTCAATGTTGGCGGAGGAGCTGAACGACAGATCCACTGCTCCCGCCATCGTCCCCGCCGCCATGTACGGCGCGTCGGGCGCAAGCGCCACCGATGCCGATCGATTCACCCCTTTTATACACGCCATAGCTCGAAAATTGAATTGACCCCAACCCCAACTCAATATTTATCTGAAACGGAAGAATTGGGGGATTTGAGAGAGAAAGGGGCACCGGATCTGAGAGAATTTGGGGATTTTATTGGGAATTGGAATAATTTTATTCTCGTCTGTGTTTCCCTTGTTCGAATTTAGGGTTTGGTTTTGAATGTGATCTGTGTGTGAATTTTTTATACGAGAACGAAAGTGAGAGATGACACTGGCTTCTTTCTTCTGTGTTGTTGTGGCTCTCTCTATCTCTGAATTGTGAGGGAGAGTGCGTGCGTGTCTTTTTGTGTTTGATATTTGGCAATCGTTGGCGTTACGAGATGGTAGTCGGGTTTTGGTTTCTCAATCCTCTGCGGTCGGGTCCAGTGAGCCTGGTTTTGAATTTTGTGCTGTTGACGGTTGTACGTTGTGATTCGCCGCGTTTGGAAAGAGTGAAGGAGTGTTTTGTGTACAATTGGGACGAGCGTGGTTTAGGAGGTGAGGGAGGTGTGTATCTGCAGGTGTAGATGATGATCAAATAAATTACTCTGATTTTAGTATGGCAAACCAATGAGATGTCGCCACGTGTTATTTCTTGGAAACTTTGTATTCCACTTTTTGGTTGTGTTTTTAAATTCTGGACCAAGGGTCCCCTTAAGGCTAGTTGATAGAAGCCATTGGGCCAACATCAAGATTTGTTATTTCTTTGAGGGGTTCATTCTACACCCTAGAATTTGCTATAAACATCCAGACTCCAATTATTCTTCCAGAAATAAGTTTTCCCCTTTGCAAATTCACTTAAAATTAACAATAAAATAATTTTTAAGAACGTTAAAGAAATAAAAATTAAATTAATGAAAGTTTTAAATTCATTTATTTATTTCGTACAATTTTCTTATTTCATGTATGATTCTCATTTCTGGTGTGATTATGTCCAAAAGTCCAATGTTTAGCAACCATATTTAGGGCTTAACATGGATGGGGTATGTGATAGAACTTATGAGGGATGCGGGCCTTGAGCCTTGGGCCGTGATTTCAAGACTCAACTCGCATTGAGGACTATCTTTGCTAATTTTGAGACTCAACTCGCATTTAAGACTATCTTGTTTTTTGACACAATAGGGGAAGGCAATTTGAACACAGATTTAGATGCTGCTTTTAACCACTTGAGCTACAAACCCTTGGACATTGAGGACTGCATTTGTTCCAAATAAATAAAATCTAAAGTTAAACTTAGTTGTAGAATAAGAAATCAAAAAACCACATTGTAATAAGAATATTTTGAGATAAGCTCGCCCACGAAGTTCTATTTGCACTTAACTACTCTAATAGAACTTTAAAATAAAAATAATAATTTTTAGCCGTTTTGCCCCTGAACTATTAGGCAATTCAAACTTACCGCTTGAATTATTTTGGCTACCGATTTAGTCCTTCTACTAATTTAAAATAGCCAATGTAGGACTTGCGGTTAGATTTTTGTCTAAATAGTGATGTGGGGGCCATGTGATTCGTTTGTTGAGGGCATTATAGTCCTTCCAGGTGATGACTTTGTATTTCCATTTATTGTTTAAAATAAACAATAATAAAAAATTTCAATCACCCCCATCCCCAACCGGCCATGTTCCTCCTCTTCTGGAGAAAACAAATCGTCAACACCCACAGCCACCTCTCCTTATCCCACTCGCAACCACACACCCACACACCCACACACCCACACACCCACACCCCCCCTCCACCCCCACACCTCCTACCCCAACACCAATTTAATTTTTGCACTCCAACCTCGACGACTCCTCCGCCAACGAAAACCCCACAACCACCTCTACCTTTTACACCCCACCCCACACAACTCTAGCCCACCCATGTTCAATCTTTCTAAATTTTATTTTTACAATACCTCCTTCTACAAACCTCTCTACACATAAAATGAAGTGGATTTTTTTTTTTTTTTTTTTTTTTTTTTTTTCCTTTTGTAGAAGAGAAACATACTACAGGGAGGGTGGGGGCTATAGAACCAAGACATAAAAGATTGGGAGATTCACTATTATACCAAATATAGGAGCTCAAATTATAAAAACACCCTATATGAAATGGGCTTTAGAAACACACTCAAATCCCATTTACAACATAACAAAAAGGCTTTTAACTTCTTTTAAATTACAAAACTGCCATTAATTTCTTAAAACAAACCCAACCTCAAAACCTCATAAAAAAAGCTCAAAACACTCAAGAGGGCATCAAAGTAATTTAATAATCAAAATTAAATTCAGTAGGGCCAGTTGTCATTTTTTGGGTTTGTTTATAGAAATTAAATGGTGTAGAGTTTATTTATAGTTTTAGTGCTAAGAATGGGTATATGACTAAATATCTCTAAAACATTTGGTGGTAGGAGTGGGGTGTAGTGAGAAATTGCAAGGACGATGAAGAAGGGAGGGTGGTGTCTTTCAAATGGGGAGTGGTGGCTAGGTATGGAGAAGATTGGTGTGGGTGAGATTGGAAAGTGATGGAAATGACAAAAATGTCCTCAAAATTCGAAGCACATGCTCCTCACATGTCCATTTAGACGATAACGTGGATGAAATCCTCCAAAAAACTAAAAGCGAGTCCAACAATTGACTATTGTTAGGCCCAGTTTGGGATTGCTGTCACTTTTAAAAAAAAGTTGATTCTGCTGTGCTTTGAAAATAATTAGCTATAAAGTAAAGCAGCTCCGTGTTTGGTAAACAATATTTTTAAAGTGCTGTTAGTACAAAAAGCAGTGTCAAAACCGTTTGGTAAGTTTTAATATAAAATTGTTGTAACTGTGAATAATGACTAAAATAGACATGATGTTAAAAGTGTTATGTACTAATCATGTGGTAGTAGTGGTAGTGATGGAGTGGAGGTGGTGGTGGTAGGGATGGCGCTTGTGGAGGTGGTGGTAGTGACAGCATGGTGGTGGAGGTGGCAGCATGGTGATGGTGGTGGTGTTGGTTGTGGAGGTGGTGGTGGATGTGGATGTTTTGAAGGAGGTGGTGGTTGTTGTGGTGGTGGTGGTGGTGGTGGTGGAGGTGGAGGTGAAGGTGGAGTTGGTGGTGGTGGAGGTGGTGGTGGTGGTGGTGGTGGTAGTGACAGCATGGTGGTGGAGGTGGCAGCATGGTGATGGTGGTGGTGTTGGTTATGGAAGTGGTGGTGGATGTGGATGTTTTGAAGGAGGTGGTGGTGGTGGTGGTGGTGGAGGTGGAGGTGGAGGTGGAGGTGAAGGTGGAGTTGGTGGTGGTGGTGGTAGTGACAGCATGGTGGTGGAGGTGGCAGCATGGTGATGGTGGTGGTGTTGGTGGCGGATGTGGATGTTTTGAAGGAGGTGGTGGTGGTGGTGGTGGTGGTGGTGTTGGTTGTGGAGGTGGTGGTGGATGTGGATGTTTTGAAGGAGGTGGTGGTGGTGGTGGTGGTGGTGGTGGTGGTGGTGGTGGTGGTGGTTGTGGAGGTGGTGGTGGATGTGGATGTTTGAAGGAGGTGGTGGTTGTTGTGGTGGTGGTGGTGGTGGTGGTGGTGGTGGAGGTGGAGGTGAAGGTGGAGTTGGTGGTGGTAGTGGTGGTGGTGGTGGTGGTGGAGGTGGAGGGTTGGTGGTGGTGGTGGAGGTGGTTGTGGAGGTAGTGAATCTGGTGGTGTAAGTGGTGGAGTTGGATGTGGAAGTGGAGGTGGTGTTATTTTTTAAAATGAATGATGGTATTTTGGGAATTAAAAAAATTCATTAAAGGTTCATCTCTGCTTCTTTTGAAAGCAGTTTTGAAAAGCAACCCATAGCCTGCTTTTAAAAGCTGCTGTCAAAAAGTCACTGCTTTTAAAATAATCGAGATATTTTATTTTTACCAAACACCTAAAACTGCTTAACTTTAAAGTGAAGCAGGTTTTTGTCGAAAAAAAAGCAATCACAAACGGGGCCTTAATAAGTTCAAGTGATAAATCGGCAAACGAAATAATTCAGCAGAGTAAGTTCGAAATACGTCATAGTTCAAGGGGCAAAAGGACACTTTACCCTTTAAAGTTCCACAACTCTAGTGCACATGTGGAAACATAATTGCCAGAAATTTTTTATTTTTTTAAATGAGCTGAGGGCCAACCCCAAAAACAACACTTAAACAAGATTAATACAAACTAGGCGGGTTTTGTGAACCCCAGCAAGATCATCTGCGAAAATTGAGTCCACCCAATCCGCGAGAATTGCCATAAAATCTTTAGCAATGGCCTAGCTTACATTGAAAAAAACTCTTAAGAAAAAAATTAATTGCAAACCTAGCTAACCCCAACATACTCTCTAACATTTGGCAGCCTAATCCAAACATTAACCTATTTATTAGCATCCTTGCCATTCTGGTTGAGATCAACATGAGGAGTATGCCTATCAACTGGTAGCTTTATGCTCGCCAAGGGACCTACAGGAACAAGCTTGATATTCTCACAATTGCACATCTCAATCATGAATCCATCTGGGTCATTGAAGAAGAGTTGGTCAATTGTTGTTTTATTTTCATCATCATCCACTGATCTTTTAATGTACTTCAAATTCAGGTCCTTCAGTTTCCGCTCTATTGCTTCCATGTCTTCACACTGCAAGTAACATAGTGCATCAATTAGTAAGCCAACATAGTTTATGTCGCTCACCCATAATATAACATTTGGCATAGTAATAACATTTGGCATAGTTATATAGTCACAGGCAAGTAATATTTCATTTTAAAAGGAGGAAAAATTTAGCACTCTACTGAACTATTGTCTGCGTCCTCGCATTACCCCTAGATTTTCAATATGACTTTAGCATCTAACTTTCAAAACGTTCTAATACTCCTACAGTTAATTTCTTTCTTCTTTTTTTCAATGAGTTATTTTTTAGGGTAATTTTGTCATATTTTCTACCCTCTTTCTTTCCCTTACTTCCTCTCCCTTTCCTTTTAAGCAAAGTGAAAAATAACCTAAAGAGCTTCATCATGCACTCAACACATGATTAAAACAATCATATTATTTAGGCAAAAAGTCATTTTTTATTCTTGTGGTGTACCACCTTTACCACTAAAGTCCACGTAATTTCAATTTGATCATTTTTGCCCCTATGGTTTCAATTTGAAGCAATTCAAGGACAATCCCAATTTCTGTTAAATTATTCTTAATTTGTTTTCTATTAAGGGGCAAATATGTCAAATCTTGCACCACTTCCGAACCAACCAGAGCGTCCAAAGCACAACCCAAGAGTCCTCCATGTTGTCCCATTATCCTGTTTTGGGGTCTCATTCTTGGTGCCTGAATTGGAGGTTTGAGTTTTACTCATTGTGGACTCAAAACAACCAGTCACTATTTTCAAAAATCAAGAACATAAAAAGATATATTAATAAGAAAACCAAGAAGGAAGAAGAATTGTTTGGTTGCTGAGCAATTATTCCAATTAAAGCTTCAGCCTTGATAATCAATCCACAATTAGCAAATTCAAGCTTCGAGCCTCCAACCATAAAGAATTTTAACCTACAAAGCAGCAGCAAGGTCTCTTTCACCAAGTGAAGCTCCACCATGTCCAAGTAATGCTAGAGCTTCTCCCGATTCAGAGATGTTCGTGAACGGGAAGATCAATCGAAATATGGCACCATCTTCTAGGGAAAAGTCTTCCTTGAAATACAAAGCAGGGACTTTTCAAAGACACACGATGAGAGCTTTGGCTTGGCCGCCAATTGAGTCGATGTCCGAGTGGTTGAAAAATGTCCTTGAAGCGGATTGTTTAACGGAGTCGAATGCATATTTTAGTATAAGAGGTGCAAATTTGGGCAGGGCAACGAAGGTGGACGAGGACCACCAACCGACTCAGAGGAAGAGTCGGAGGCATTGGTTTGTTGAGAATGGAGGTGAGGGTTGGCTGGTTAGGAGGGGATGCAAGTTGGACCAAAATGCCCCTCAATAGATAACATAAGTTAAGAATAATTTAACAGAAATTGGAATTGTCCTTAAATTGCTTCAAATTTAAACCACATGGACCTTAGTGGTAAAAGTGGTAAAGCACAGGAACCAAAAATTATTTTTTGCCTATTATTAATGCTTTGATAAGAGAGGCACACTAAGGAGTTGTTTGGTAACCATTTATTTTTTCATTTTTTCAAACAAGATGAAAGTGAAAACTGCAAACATGTTTGGTAAAGATTTCATTTTCATTTTTCAAAACAACTTGGAAGTTTCCTTTTTTTTTTTATGTTTTTTTTTTTTATCTTTATGTTCACTACATGCATACGCACTGCATGCATCGCATTACTGAAACTCAACTATATTAGGACCTTCTAACTTGGATTTTGCCTCCCAATTGTTGCGTTTGACTGCAAACCTAGTCCAAGCCTTAGGACCTCCATTGTAACTCAAAAAAATTCACATAAAAATATTACGAACTCTTCTTAACATGCACCTTTATTCTATGATCTCAAATTCACAATTTGAACCCCAAAAAAAATTCAATGTCCAAGTTCCACATAAAATTGAAAATTGAAAACTGAAATCCATTACCAAATAACTAAAAATTGTTACAAACAAGTTTTATGTTTTCTATTTCTTAAAAATGGAAACTAAAAACTGTAAACTGAAATGGTTATCAAATGAGCTTTAAAATGTTGAGAAAGATTAGAAAATTTCGACAGCTAACACAAAAATTGAAAAAATAGTTCAAATTGTTTTCGAGAAAAAAGAAGAATAAAAAATAATTTCATGCTTCTAAAATTAGTTGGATCATATGGCTTGACAAATACACGCCAAAGGTGACAATTCGATTAGAGGAAGGAAACAGAACATGACAAATGGAATTTGGGCAAGATTTCAATAAATAAATAGAATATTGTAGCAATTTGAAGAAGAAATTAATTAAAATAAAATAAAATAAAACTAACCTGGAATGAGATGTGGTTGTCCATGGGATCCAAGTGATCAGTATTCGCAGGAAGCCTCTCCTCATCCTCTGACTGCACCAGGTGAATCCCAATTCCATAATTAAACAGCCAAGCACCATCGAAGTCGAAAGCTGGCGGCCTCTCAATCTTAACGAACCCCAAAACTTTGGTGTAGAAATCCACCGACTCCTCCACATTTCTACACAGCCTCGACACGTGGTTCAACGCCATTGGAGGAAGTTGTTCTTCTTCGTGTTTGCTTCTCTCTTTCGCATTTGGTTTCTCCACCTTCCTCTCCTCCATTTGTGACATTTTCTCTCGCTTAGTTGTTAGTTCTTTTCTTCTCTGCTATGGCTAACGGCTGTGATTTTGTGATGGTGTTTTATTTTGTTATGCAGAAATCTGTATGGCATTAACGGCAGTTGCCCTAATCTCGACACGTGGTGAATAGCTGCATGCAAAGGGGTTTACGTGTCATTGCCTGTAGGAGACGTCTGGGGTTTTGACCGGTGGCAGGCAACTGCAACCGACAACTCTAACTTGAATTTATTTATTTATTTATTTACTAGTCTTTTTGCATGCGCTTTTGCGCCTGTGAGAGATTTTAAAAAAAATATTTTATTTTATTTTAGAATTAAAAAAAGATAATGGATGGTTGTGTTTCATAAAAATAGGACCTATTATCTTATTTTTCTTTCAATTTTTTTTATTAAATATGAAAAATTGTGAATTTAGCATATTATCCTCATTTAATTAATAATTTTAATTCTTAAGGTTTGCATTAACCGAAGACATTTTCTAGTATTTTGAATGTTTCACCATTCTCTGCCTTTTGCTTTATATATATATATATATATTTTAATTGTATATGGTGGCTGAACTTTTAAGTTGTAATTTGCCAAAATTTTGAAGAATCATTAATATCTCTAAAGTATAAACTAATATAAGTAGGAGGGTCCTTTTTTCTAGGTTTTTTTCAAAAACAAATAGTACAGCCCAATGGCTATACTCTGTTTTTTAATTGTGTTTTAAAAGAAATCGTATAGCCATGCGGCTACTCGATTTTGCTAATTTTTTAAAAGAAATAGTATAGCCGCCATATTCCCTTTTTCCCTCATTTTTAATAAGAAATAGGACAGCCGCACGGCTATACTCGGTTTTGCTTAAAAAGAAATAGTACAATACTCGTATTGAACATGTACGTACGTATTTTTCATATTTAATACATGTATTGATTACAAAATTTCAATAATACACACAAAATTCAAGTATTATTGAATACAAATATATATATTAAAATATTAAAATATTAAAATAAATTATATTAAAATATTATATAGTAACCGAACTTTTAAGTTGTAATTTGCCAAATTTTGACGAATAATTAATATCTATAAAGTATAAACTAATGCAACTAGGAGGGTCCTTTTTTTGGTTTTTTTTTATAAAAGAAATAGTATAGACACACGGCTAGACTCTGTTTTTATTTTTTTTTAAAGAAATAGTATAGGAGTCTCCCGAGTCCGATTTTCCTGTTACCAAAGTCCCTGTGCCCCCATGTTTCCTCCCTAGTTTTGTGACATGTGGACTTTAACTTAACAAGAGTTTAACTCTGTTAACTCTCTTTTAACATTTTTTTTCTTTAATTAACAGAATTAAAATATATTATATTAGAATACACATTTGACAAAAAAACTTTGCACGCCATTTCATCTTCTACGCTACACTTCAACCCCTACATCTTCTCTACACTGCAAAACTCAACCACTTCATCTTCTCCTCTCTACGAAACTCAGCCCTTGCATATGGTTTTCTAGTTTGCACATTGGTTGCTAGTTCATCAGGTAAGCATGTTGTGCTCTTCATTGTTTTTTCTTCTGCTTTTTGATTGCTGGGTTTTGAGCATCGTATTCAAAACTCAGCCGCTTCATCTTGGGTATATAATTATCAAATGAATTGCGTAATGGGTAAATAATTACCAAAACTCAGCCCCTACATATATTTCGTTTGTTGGCCACTAGTTCGTGAGGTAAGCCAGGCTCTACTTCATAATTTTCCCCCCTTTTTGGTTGCTAGCATTGGAGCCAACGCACAAGAAGCTTTTAAACGATTAATTTGTGATAATTATATACCCATTATGCAATTCATTTGGTTTCAAAAAAAAATTCCAGAAAAAGAGAAGGAAGAAGGTTGATTTGGCTAAAGCATACCTCCAACATTTTGGTTCATTAGAAGTTAATTCCCATCCTGCCTTTTAAATTGATCCTATTTAAAGCTATGTCTCTAGACACTTGGCTACAAAGGCAATTCTAGGAATTTTTGGGTGTCTAGAGACGTTTTTGGGGTGTGTATCAAAAGCTAATCACCCTTATATACGTAGGGATGAATGCTTTATTGTTTGTCCACAGATACACTATTTAATGAATGCTTTATTGGGTACTAATAATTTGGAATCTGTTAAATGGTGAAATGGTTAAGAGTGGTGGTTAGATGGGGATGCTGTCCGAAATGTTGAACAACTGCTTATGAATGGAGCCTTGTGTGCTGGTCAAACTGTGTAAATGCTATTATTATGTTTTATATCCAGAGTGCTTGCCTATGTAGCTCATGTATATGAGTCTAGCTATTTTCGTTGTCATAATACATTTCATATTTAAGCATTTTGTTTCTTGAAACATTGTTACTAGTTGTGGGTTCTGTTATCTAGCCCAATGTGGAATTCGTAATTTCCAGATACAATGTGCAGGTTTGCTTAAAGCAAATACCAGAATGTAAGTGTAGGTGGGTGTGGGTAGTGGGGGATCTTTGGTGGTTGACATCTAACTTCTATTTGAAGTGGTTTATTCTTTGAGTAATAATGCTTGCAGCTTCTGTAAGAGTATATGGCCTGCATCTAAAATCAGTATCTACAAAAAAAACAAAAAAAAAATTTGATTAGAGTCTTTAACATGATTTGCAGGAGAGCTGGGAAATATTTTTCTTCTACAGGCCAAAAGTTAAAAAAGAGGAAGCTCACAACCCAGATGATGTTCTAGTGAAAAAGGTGCAAAGAAGAAGGGATCAAATTTTGATTCAGGAAAAGAAGGTGCAAAGAAGAAGGGATAGAATTCTGGTGAAAAAGGTTCTAGTGGTAATCAAAGTAGTGAAGGTGGGCATGGTAGGCAGGAAGTGAACATTGAGAACCAACCATTGATGAGGTTCATAGTGATGGGAAGCCCCTATACTATAAAAATTATGTATTATTTTTCCCCGGAAATCTTTTTTATATGACCCAAAATTCTATGAAGTTTGTATAAGGTTCTGCATTATTAACATCATTATGCATTCTTCATCATGTTCTAACATGGAGAGAGCTTACTGGAAAGTATGCATCATGATTAATGACTTTGTGGCTTGAAATGCAAGTAATATTTACATTGAATGTAATACTTCAACACCTTAATAAGGTAGAGATGCCAAATATCATAATAAGTTCAAATGCCAAGACAGGACAAAAATAACAAACTTGTTCTAAATCAAAATTGAGTTGTAACAAATTATGGAACCCTTGTCAACAATTGAGAGCTAAACAACCCAAATTCAACATTATGACGCTTGGTGACTCTTGTCAATTGAAAAAGGTGGATCTACTTCAACACTAGAACTCTTGGCCCCGGTACTTGTGAATTGAGAGCTAAACAACCCAAATTCTCCTTCCAATGGTGATTGTGCCTACACTCATACAATATATATATATTGTCAAAAGAGCGAAATATACTCAATCAAGTACAAAATTAAGATTAAGAAAAGTTTTAACTAAATGCAATGAAGTACCTGCAATAAGTTGACCATGCTAACTGGAAATTCCATGTTTAAATTATTGACAGCAACAAGTTCCTACAATGTTTTGGGTTCAACCAATACAATAAGCAAAATACATTGAAGCTACAGGGTAATAAACAAACAAAGATGAAATTAATAATGAATTAATACAATACCTGTGAAAATTCTGATAGAGGTGCTGGAATAGCTTTCGTAGTAGGAACACATATTGAATCAACACTGCTTGAATTTTGCAATTCTGTTTTTCAAGTTCTTCTCTTCTTTGCCAGCTTCTCCAAAGCATTTTTTTGGCCTTTTAGAACTACCAACAACTCTTTCTTTAATTTTGATTCCTCTAACTTTAATAATATGATCATCAACATTAATACACTCATTTAACTCAGATCTATTATTAATTACTGGCGAGATAACTTCAGACGTTTCTTGACTTGATTTTCTTTTAAACATGCATCCACCTCGTCAAAAGTCTAGTTCAATCTTCGTATAACAATTTCATACGCCTTACCACACCATGCTGCCCTTGTTGCTAATTGAGTATGCAACTGACACAACTCTCTATAATGTCTTACAATTCCTACCTTAGGGTCATTTGTACTTGAAGATGAATTAACTTTTGCACTCATAGCCTTCACATTTTTGTCCATCTCTTCAAGATGTACTGAGCTAGGATACTTTTAACATTTCTTGTAGAAAGAACCTTCAAGGCATGTGCACATAAGATTCTTGCAAACTCAAACTTTTTACAACTACATAAAGTTACATTATTTGTTGAGTCAAATGTAACTGTATGTCGCCAATTCTTCCCATACGGAATAACTTCATACTTGCTGATTGTTCCCATCTCATCATTGAAGTGCAAAGCACAATCATAAGCCTTACATAGCTCATCTTGAAACACTTTAAACACTTTCGGTGTATACACATTTGATGCATGCTTCAATATTTCTACGGGAAATGACAATGTTAGGGAACTTTGACTTGCTTTAAATTCAGCTTTCAACTCTTTGTAATGACGATCTTCAACTAACCTTTGGAAGTGTTGAAAAAATCTGAGCAAGTCATACTTGTAACTAACATATTTTTTTATACAACTATTCATGCTTTCACTCCACTGGGTAGTAGTAATATCTGCACAAAAAGTTTGTCGCCCATAAACTAACACCCATTTCTCCCTTATTTTAAACAAACGACTCAACCAATCATTGCCCACGAGAGTATATTTTTCAAGCATACTATTCCAAGCATTTAGAAAATCATGTTCATCCTCATAATCATACATGCAACTACTAAAATCTTTGCTGAAATCTTTGAACTTCTCAAAAACACCGCTAAGGTATTTGGCTGCATTCTGATATATGTGCCAATACATAAACGATGAGATGTTTCTGGCCATTTTAAAGCTAATGCTGCATCTTGGTCTGTAGGAATGTTCTTTGGCTTTTTTCCAGACATAGCCTTCACAAAAGTATCAAACAACCACGTAAAAGTTTGAATTGTCTCATCATATAATAATGCAACACCAAATATAATAGTTTTCTTATGGTGATTGACACTAACAAACATTGCAAAAGGTCTTCCTTCTTTATTTTTCTATAGGTAGTATCAAAACATACTACATCACCAAAATAATCATAATCTACCATCATCCTCGCATCAGCCCAAAAAATATTAGTGATCAAATCATCTTCATCCACTTGTATAGCATAAAAAAAAATTAGGATCAATCAATTGCATTTGTTGTAGATACTCTAACACATCACTTGTATCTCCTAACTTCATTTCTCTTGTTCGTTTTGAATGCAAGTAGTTATTGTAATCTTCATGAATAAATCTAAGACTTTCCCGACCACCAGCTTGTCTACTTAAAAATTCAAGAGCTGCTTTGGGAGCAATTCTTGAACTATCAGCCATATCAACTTCAGCTATTTGTGGAAGAGTGATCTTCCTATGAGACCTAAAGAAATGAGTCTTAGACGGACTTATAGTCACATGGTTATGCTCAGAAACAAATTATATGACACGATACTTCTCATTCAAATTACAACTAATTTTCATCCTTGCTAAGCATCCACATCTTGTCTCAGCACGATGATATTTCACATTATTAGAAACACGATTATCAATTTCACACTTACCTTCAGCAAAGCAAACAAAAAGCCTGTCCCTCAACTGGCCACTTTTGAATTTGTGACAGCCACTTCTTCTAATACTAAAACCAATATTGTATGCATATGCATTGTAAAATTTAAATGCTAAGTCTTCTGTCTCAAACTCCATCCCAATCACAGGAATTAGTTGTTTTCGAATGCTAGAATGAACCAAATCTATTTTTTCATTACCTTTCATAGCTTGTGATGACTTTTCGTTGCTTTCACCTTCTAAAATGTTCAAGCCAGTGCTTGTTTCACCTTCTCCATCTTCCATGCAATTATTTTCCATATTCATATCCTTCAATTGAATCAAACAAAATTTATACATCTAAAATATCTTCCATAATAATAATAAATTATAATTAATTCAATAAAAATTAAACAGAGCTAAGTACTGTACAATCATATGTTCATATTAGTTATTGATGAAACTAGAAAATGGATGTAGATGAAAACCAAAATACAAACTATCGAAAAAATTATGAAAAGAAAAATCAATATATTTTGTATTCGTTGTTACTGTAGATGGAAATGAAAAGTCATCATAAGATTGAAACCAAATGAATTTGATTCAAATGAATTGCATATTAGGTATATGATTCTCGCAAGTTATATGTTTATAAGTTTTTCATACAATGCTCAAAAACCAACAATCAAAAAGCAGAAGAAAAAGACATGAAGAGCATAGCATGTTTACTTGATGAACCAGCAACCAACGTGCAAACTAGAAAACCATATGCAAGGGCTGAGTTTCGTAGAGAGGAGAAGATGAAGTGGCTGAGTTTTGCAGTGCAGAGAAGATGTAGGGGTTGAAGTGTAGCGTAGAAGATGAAACGGCGTGCAAAGTGTTTTTGTCAAACGTGTATTCTAATATAATATATTTTAATTCTTTTAATTAAAGAAAAAAAATGCTAAAGGAGAGTTAACAGAGTTAAACTCCTATTAAGTTAGAGTCCACATGTCACAAAACTAGGGAGAAAACATGGGGGCACAGGAACTTTGGTAATAGAAAAATCGGGACTCACACTGTAGCCAATCGGCCATACTCGCTTTTCTCTCATTTTTAAAAAGAAATAATACAGCCGCATGGCTATACCCCGTTTTAAAAAAATAAAAATAAAATAGTACAATACTCTTATTTCACAAAGTTTTTCACATTTAATACACTCATATTTCACAAAGTTTTCAATAATACACACAAAATTCAAATATTATTCAATACAAATAATATATATTAAATATTATATTATATTATATTAAATATTATGTCGTGGCCGAACTTTAAAGTTGTAATTTGCCAAAATTTTGACAAATAATTAATATCTAAAAAGTTTAAACTAATGCAACTAGGAGGTCCTTTTTTCTTGTGTTTTTAAAAAGAAATAGTATAGCCGCACGTCGTTACTCAGTTTTTATTTATTTTAAATAAATAGTATAGCCGACAGCTATGCGCAATTTTTTTAAAAGAAACAGTATAGCCGCTCAGCGATATTTCGCTTTTCCCTAATTCTTTTAAAATAAGAAATAGTACAGCCGTGTGGCTATACTCGGATTTTTTTTAAATAATGCATAGTAAAATACTCCTATTGAACATGTACTTACATATTTTTCATATTTAATACATGTGTTGTTTACAAAATTTTCAATAACACACAAAAAATTCAAGTATTATTGAAGAGAAATAATATATATTAAAATACTTAAATAAATAATTTTAAAATATTATATAGTGGGCGAACTTTTAAGTTGTAATTTGCCAAAATTTTGACGAATAATTAATATCTATAAGTATAAACTAATAGGGCCCTTTTTTTTAGTTTTTTTAAGAAAGAAATAGTATAGCCGTGCGGCTACACTCTGTTTTTTAATTGTTTTTTAAAAGAAATCGTGTAGCACTATACTCTGGTTTTGCTATTTTTTCAAGAGAAATAGTATAGCCGCTAGGGTATACTCTATTTTCCTTAATTTTGTAAAAAGAAATAGTTCAGCCGAACGACTATTCTCCAGTTTTTTTTAATTTTTTAAAAAGAAATAGTACAATACTCGTATGGAGTATGTATGTACGTATTTTTAATATTTAATACAGTATTTTTTACAAAATGTTGAATAATACACACAAAATTCAAGTATTATTGAATACAAATAATATATATTTAAATATTTAAATAAATTACATTAAAATAGTATATAGTGGCCGACCTTCTTATTTGTAATTAGCAAAAAAATTTGACGTGTAATTAATATCTATAAAGTATAAACTAATGCAACTAGGAGGGTCATTTTTTTTTAAAAAAAAAACATTACAAAGAAATATTATAGCCGCACGGCCATACTGTTTTTTTATGTATTGTTTTTTAAAAGAAATTGTATAGTTGTGCGGTGATACTTGGTTGTTGCTAATTTTTCAAAGAAATAAAATAGCCGCCCAGGTACACTCATTTTTCCCCTAATTTTTTAATAAGAAATAGTACCGCCGCAGGACTATATTCGGTTTTTTTTATTTTTTTTTAAAAGAAATAGTATAGCCGACCGACCATACTTGCTTTTTCCCTAATTTTTTTTAATAAGAAATAGTACAATCGCTCGGCGATACTTAGTTTTTTAAATTTTTTATAAAAGTATTACAATACTAGTATTGAACATGTACGTAGTATTTTTCATATTTAATTCACGTATTGTTCACAAAATTTTCAATAATACACACAAAGTTCAAGTATTATTGAATACAAATATTATATATATATTAAAATATTATATAGTGGCTGAACTTTTAAGTTGTAATTTTCCAAAATTTTGACGAATAATTATATCTAGGAAGTATAAACTAATGTAAGTAGGAGGGTCATTTTTTCTATTTTTTAAAGAAAGAAATCGTATAGCCGCACGGCTATACTCTGTTTTTGTTAATTTTGGCAATAGAAATAGTATAGCCCCCCGGGAATACGCTGTTTTTCCCTAATTTTTTAATAAGAAATAGTACAGCCGCCCGGCTATACTCGGGTTTTTCATTTTTTTAAAAACAAATAGTACAATACTCGTATTGAACATGTACGTACAATACTCGTATTGGTTTAAAAAAATTCAATAATACGCACAAAATTCAAGTGTTGTTGAATACAAATAATATATATTT